ATATGTGATCTGGTCTAAGTGCCTCCTCCTTACCCTGTAGCGCTCGAACGTATATCTTCTCCGCCTCGGCTAGCTTACCTTGGTTAGCGTAGAGGATGCCTAGGTTATTGACCGTACGGAGTGTCGATATGTGATCTGGTCTAAGTGCCTCCTCGTAGCCTTGTAGCGCTCGAACGTACATCTTCTCCGCCTTGACTAGCTTGCCTTGGTCGGCGTAGAGGAGGCCTAGGTTGTGGACCATATCGAGTGTCGATATGTGATCTGGTCCAAGTGCCTCCTCGTAGCCTTGTAGCGCTCGAACGTACATCTGCTCGGCGGCATTATACCGTACTTGCTATTTAAGAAGCAGCGCCAGCAACACCATCGCACCTAATCTGGTCCGTACTGAGTCATTCCGGTTTGCTGCTGCCCGAAAGCGACCGTGCACCAACCGCTCGGCATGCCTCGTGATCCGCCGATATCGAATCGTCGACAGATGATCCCAGTTTTCCGTGTCGACGTGGCTAGCCACACAGTCAAACGCTAACCAGTATTGCCTCGCGTCGATCGGGTGGTTCAACCCCTCTAACGTCCAGTCATGGACACACACGTGAAGACTATATAACCCGGTCTGATAATGCGCTTCTACGAGATAGTATCGTGTGAGTATACGCATCGTATCCTTAAACATAAACTCGTCGCCCGCTAATTCCGTAAACCACGCGGGTCGGTTGTCACCTTACCCTCTTTTGAAGAGTTGGAACTAGACATCCTGGTGATCCAAATATGCTATAAATCGTAAGAGATATGCTGCACGCGGGCATTGTTGCTCAATCCGCGTGAATGATAGAGTCCATGTCGTGTAGAGTGTGCGCGAAGGATAATCGGGTAATGTCTCCATCGAATCAATCACTTTCTATCGCGCATGATACTGTCGAAGATACTGGCTAAAGCTGATCGAAGACTGACTTAAAAAGGCTCCCGCTGTTGCCAGAGCTAAGGGATGCCCGTCGAGTCGCTGGGCCAGGAGTCGGGCATCTTGGTCTTCAAACGGTTAGATATAAACAGCGAGTAGTGAATTAACCTCCCTTACCTGATTCTGCGTTGTCGCGTCCGGACTGAGTAGCTAGAACTCGAACGCTATCGTCTTCCTTACTCATCGATTACACCCGCACCTTGACTCCGTTCACTCGATCCGGCTGTCGCGTGGTGACGATGACCGAGCTATATGCGATAAATGAGAAATATTTATGAAGCGAGTACTTATCCGGATCGTCGTGGTTGTCGAAGATAAGTAGCCACCGAGTGTTATCGTGTTCCGAGAGCTAATTCGAGACGGACATACGAATCTACTCGCCATTAAGCTTACCGACTGTCTCTAGAGGTAGTACTCGATGGGCCACATTCCGTAAGCTCGTCTGGAGGCTGACCTTAGAGGTGGTATTTAGCTAGAAGACGGACGAATAGTCGGTCCGATGTCGTTTGGCATAGGAAATCGCCAGCTAAGTCTTGCTAATCCCACCTAAGCCGCCGAGAACAATCACCTTTCTGCGGGAGTCGACTGTGTCGGACTGAGGCTGCAAGATCGACTCCATCTGGTGAATCTCGCTCTGTCGACTAATAAAGAGATCCTCGTCCATGTCCGGAGCATCGTAGAGATTGAGACCGAGATTATATTCTACTGAGACATCAGCACTTCTATCCTATACATAGAAGTTAATCCACGATATATTTAGCTCTCACTACCTCGAGGAGATGAGTTGCAAGACTTACTTATTACCGCTGCAGCCCGTTTGACCGATATCACTTCTGCTGGCTTGACAATGGCTAATAGTTCTTTGGTAAACCCGGCAGCGGTGGCCGCCGCATATTCCTACCACACGTCGTTCTTATGGGAATCGGCATAGTCACAGATCCCTCGCACCACAACATAGGGAAAATCAGTCATTAATCCAGCGGCCTCCATTTCCACGCACTTGGCGCCGAATTCGCGGCCTAGCCGAGCCCGTTCGACTACATTCTTCATCAATTCGTTTCCTGAAGTAATGACCCCGTAATGAACCTCGGGACTGTGGTCTTCACGAGGCTGTCGGTTGATAATGCCGTTTTGACATTCGGTGTAATGACCCCCGTCTTGGTGGCCTTCGACGTTGCTATAAAACAGTGTGTCTTTCTCCACACCAGGATGCACGTACCCTCCCTTAGCTAATCGTAGAAATCGCTAGACTATTGCAGAAACAGTCTCCGGGATCTGTGAACCATACATTTGGTGTCTTGATTGGAGGTTGGCCAGCGCGGTCAATAGGAGCGTTGGAGGTGGCCGCAGCATGCCCTTCCGCTCGAATACTCTATCTCCCAGATTCTTCCGGAGGTCGTACTGCACCACGCCCCCGTACGTCCCGTCAGGCTGACTGACCACCACGTCACCGAGCCTAATGTCCCCGCCTTTGTGGGAGCTTGGGATTCCTCCCCCGATGCCAACCATTAGGCCGAAGCGGATGCTAGTAAAAGTCCTCAATATGTTGGTCGCCACGGTCGCCGCGGAGACGGTGCCATACACTCCGGTAGGTAGGTACGCCATCACTACGTTATGACCATGAATACGTCTTAGTATGTAACTGTTATTGTCGTGCAGCACTTGACTCGTATATGGTTCATGCTCTTCATCTAGCATCACCCGCGCGGCCGTTAGCTCCTTAAGGAGGGCGCACACCCAGCCCACCTGGTACTCTTCGATCGGTAGAGGAGGCATCGTCGAGAAGGCTCAGGGGATAAGTAAGACGAGATCGTATGGGCAATCGGTGATGGCAGGAGAGGCAGGATCTCGCATCGGTAGGGGTTGGGAATAACGGGAATCTCAGGATCTAGAGGACCTGGTGTCATGGAAAGAGCTCGGAATAAGCGAAATAAGGACATATTGGAGAATGCGCAATCAGGCTAAACGTCGAATCGAGCTGGTATGCCGACCAGGTCTGGATGCGGCTGCAATATGCACGGCGGCAATTGACCAAGAGAGCGATGTGTTGGCACTCTCATTGTGCTGGTACGTGATCGTGGCATATTAACCTCAATTGCTTGCTGAAACCGCAGGAGGAGATTTGAACACAGATGGGAATATCGATGGTACTGTACTGTACTTAGACGTAACTACCTCTTTTCATGTTGGCTCTCCTTGCATCCCTCGAGTACGCGGCATTTAGCCCTCTGAGAGCGGTTGGTAATGGTCGAAGTCGATTTGGAGTAAAATCGTTGCTGCTATTAATGTTCGCGGCCTCAGATACAGTAAGATGCGGTCGTGCCAAGTCTGTACTCGCTGTTGATTGGTGAATGCGAGGATCTGCGCTTGGATGCGATACTATATGGGCTAGACTCAACCCATGTGGACCCGAATATATTTTGTGTATATGCGGAGATGAAGGCGCAATTGAATCAGTGTGTACTGTAAGAAGAAATGTAGGAAATTGTCTCTTGACGTCTCCGAGCGCGAATATTTGCAGGTGAGTCGCATGAGGGTGGCATATTTGTTCGGCTTGTGATTTTGGAGAGGTTAGCACGCTTAGATGACAGCGACGGAAGCACGAGTTGCGCATTGTCGTTGCCCGAAACTTAGCCTTAGACGTTGCGTACATAGATCGAACACACCCTCCAGCGAATTTGGGTGCTAATGAAGGGGCGAAGGGGCGAAGGGGCGAAGGGGTGAGGCATGTCAATGTGTTACTGTACATAGCTGTGTTGTTCGTGACGAGATATCCGCGACTGGAATAACTCCGCCGGTAATCTATTCTCAATAAGAAAAGTCTAGCGTCCAGCCTGACTCTCAATCGCCTTTTTACTTCGAATGAAGGCGCTAATGGCGACTCGCGGAACGGTAAAGAATATACTAGCTGTATGGCGCGTATTATATAAACATGTCTTTACAACTACTGTAACCAAGCTCGAAAACTGGGTGGTTTTAATCGTACGTGGTGATTGGGTATAGTTTTAGGGGAGCAATTACATATTTAGCTAGACTACGTCTACAGATTCCTTAGCTCCCGCCGAGACAAAGTCGCAATGTGTCCTCAAAGGGGAGGGCGGTTTCGGGAAGCCCTGTAGCCCGCAGAAGAAACGATCCTCTTGCAACACCACTCATGTTCACCAAGAGTCGACTTCATCGTAGCCCCTTTGATCGAGCTGACTCAGATGGGGTTGAGTGTGTGGATGTGGGTGTGGGTGTGGGTGTGACTGTGCTGGATCCTGCGGGAGGGAGGAGACAACCCATCATATGCCTCTGTGTGTCTGTCTGTCAGAGGAAGAGACGATCAGGAAGTAACTAATGAGAAAGACCATTAGTCGTGGATTGTAAGAACATACCTCGGACACCTAAGGTACCATCCTGTGCCATCCATCAATCCCTGGCTGAGGTTTGACTGCATACGTCATAAAGGCACGAGAAGGTGGGAGGATCAGCGGCCACCCACTGAAAGACGAAGCCCATTGCTGGATTGCCCCGATAGTGGAGAGCGAGAGAGACGCACCAGCAACCGAGACAGATTCGGCGACAGCGAGCCAGAGACGATGATGGACAGAGAAAGTCGGATCTTCAGGCCTCCCGTCCCACGGCTGTCGCGGCCACTCTGATATACGTAAGTACTGACTGTATGAACGGAGGATATACAGCATAAAGAAGACACTGGGAGTGTATCTAATACCTACCTAGGCATGTATGTGTTTACCAGACTCTCTCACCACTCACCCTCTAAGGTACATATGAGAACCACAGTGAGCAATCATCTCCAGCCTCAGAGCACGGAAAGTAGTAACCACCTCGCAAAGGAGCCCACTCTCAATCGCCCATTCTCCGATCTTCCTATATTAGGCGTCCTAAACGCCTGATCCCTTTCCACAGCGGCCTGAATGGGGGACTGTGTATGATAGGTATAAAGGGCTGCGGGCCGTACAACCTGACACCGTTGAACGACTCGATTCCTCAACGATAGCATTACTTGGAATCCCATAACAAAGAGAAGGCATTATCTTCAAGCCTAAAGTCTCAGTACCGCTGGCAAGGACAACCTATCCTCTGGAACATTCACTAGGACAACCGTGGGTGTAAAGGGCCAGGATGTCGACTACCACCACCACTCAAACCCGTCCCTCATACTCTGTCGCGCTCAAGGACAAGAACGAGGACAAGGACACGCTGACGGCCTCGTTCAACTACTGGGGCAGCACGTCGGCGCCCCAAGAGTCCGAGATCCTGCACATCTTCAACGGCTCGTCGACCGAGCTGCAGCGCGTGCGGTGCCCCGTGGCCGACATCCGCCCCTACGGCCTCTCGTCCTTCGACCTGACGACGCACGGCTTCCAGGTCCTGCGCCACCCGTCGACGCTGTTACCCCCGCAGAGCGACGCGGTCCCAGACTTCCACGACTCGGACCTGGTCAACGCAACGTACTGGCCGGAACTGGTGTCCATGCTGAAGGCGCAGCTGGGCGTGCGGAGCGCCGCGGCCATCGGCACCACGGTCCGCGACATCAAGGAGACGGATGCCGACACGTTCGACCCCAAGAACCCGCGCTTCGTTAAGCAGAGCCTGCAGCCCTTCTTCATCGTACACGGCGACTACACGGCCGCGGGGGCCCGGGCGCAGCTGCGCGCCGTGGCGCCCACGTTCTTCGAGGACAACCACAACATCGAGGGCACGACCGAGGCGGAGCGGCGCGAGTTCTTCGCCCTGCGCGACGAGATCATCGCCGCCGAGGACGCGGCCATGGGCCAACAGGGCCTGAGCGACCAGTGGGAGTGGAGCGGGCAGAACTACCACGGCCCGCGCTGGGCGATGCTCAGCGTCTGGCGCCCGCTGGAGCCCGTCCACCGCGACCCGCTGGGCGTGCTGGACCCGCGCACCCTGCTTTCCAGGACCGACGACGACGCTATCGAGAAGAACAACCCCGCCTACATCGCCCTGCAGCGCGTGTACAAGGCCCGCCCGGGCTTCGCGCCCGAGTTCCGCAGCGAGAACATGATCGCCGTCGCGCCCCGGGACGGCGCCATGCACCAGTGGTACTACATCAGCGAGCAGCAGCCCGACGAGGTCTACGCCCTGAAGCTGTTTGACAGCGAGGCACATCGCCAGGGCCGTCGCGTCGCGCCGTGGGTTGCGCACAGTGCCTTTGCGCTCCCGGACCAGGAGGACCAGAGGCTCCGGAGGAGCGTCGAGGTGAGGATGCTGGTGATTTGGTAGGTAGTTGGTTGTCTAGATAGAAATGATAATAATTCCCAATCAAGTTTCTGCGGTGCTACTTCCCGTCGACCAGGGTTTGTCAGGGGACGAAAAAGGGGTGTGTAGAAAAAGAGATAAATCTTTCGAAGAATGGAAATAGTTTTGATCAAAGAGAGGTTGAGCCGCTTGACATTCATCGAATTCATCTTTCACACCTTCACGTTGATTTCAACTCAACTTCTTGCTCCGGCCCCTGATTCTCAATCTTGTATAGTCCCTCCTCCAGCGGACATGTGTAACATATATCAGCCTCGACCTCGACCTCGACCTCACGACTCCAGCTAAGCTTCAACTACACCGGGACGGCAATCTCCACGCTCTTCTCCGTAGCATGCACGCCGTTATCCTTGGCGACGCCGTTGCTCGCCCCGTGCACGACAGTGAAGCCCTTCCAGTCGCCCAGCGTCTCGCGACACTGCGCCTCGTACATCTGGATGCCGCCCGGGTGGGTCAGGATCTGGACCCTCTTGCCCGGGATGTTGGACGCGTTCCACCAGCTGTTGGTGAGCGGGAAGAGCGTGTGCTTGTTCATGGCGTCGATCATGCCGTCCCACTCGTCCTCGGCGTCGCGGTTCGGCTCGATCGTCGCGGCGCCCTCCTTCTCCAGCTTCTCGATCGCCGCGAGAATAAAGTCGCTCTGCGCTTCAATGATGGTCGGTCCGTTCGACAGGGCGGTCGGGGCTATATGGCAAGGAGGTCAGCTTTGGGGTGGGGGATCCGCGGGAGGGGAGGGGACGAGGAGACGTACCATGGGGAGTGTAGACCATGAAGGCATTCGGAAAGCCGTTGAATGTCATGCCAAGGTACGTCCGGATCCCTTCCTTCCAGACGTCCTTGATGTCGACACCGTCCTTGTTCTTCAATCCCATCTGTGTCAACCTGGTTCTGAGGTTAGCGGTGGCTCTCCCAACGGACGGCAAGAGAAAACTCACGATCCCGAAAACGAGTCGAATCCTGTCGCCAGAACCACCACGTCGAAATCCATCTGCGTGCCGTCCTCCATCAACATGCCGGTGGCGTTGAAGGTCTTGAGCGGGTTCTGGTTCATGTTGACAATGTGGACATTCGGCCGATCGAGCATCTCGTAGTAGTCCTGTTCCAGCGGACATCTCTTAGTGCCAAAGTAATAAGGTGCTTCGACGGGCACCATCAACTCCTGCTTCCTTGGGTCCTTGATCCGCTGCCTCATCTTCTTAGCCCAGAAATCGTACACCTTTTGATTTGCTTCTTTGCTCAGGACCACGTCGTTGTAGTTTACCATGAGGTAATTGAAGCCTCCTCTCTGCCAGATTTCTTCAAAATGCCGCTCGCGCTCTTCGTCGGACACATCAAACACGCCGCATGGCTCGGCTGAACCGGGAAATCCGGCCCTCGACTGACGGCCCTCGCGGAACAGAGCCTGGAAATAAGACTTCCACCCCTTCTGTTCTTCGGGGCTGAGCGGGCGTTGGCCCATCGGCAAGCACAGACTCGGCCGTCGCATGAAGACGGTGAGTTGGTCGGCTTCCTTTGCCAATTCCTGCACGACCTGCACGGCGGTGGCGCCAGCCCCGATGATGGCCACTTTCTTTCCCTTCACACTCATGTCTTCGGGCCAGAAGCCGGTGTGATGCAGGACTCCGTTGTATTTTGTCAATCCGGGGAAATCCGGGATATGCCTACGGTGCAGCAAGCCAGTGCATAGGATCAAGTACTTGCTCTGGGCAATATGGCCTTGCTCAGTCTTGACCGTCCACTTCTCGTCGCTCTTGCTCCATCGAGCATCGACCACGTGCGCGTTGAACTGGACGTCCTTGCGCAGGTTGAGCACCTTGTCGACGTGCGCGCAGTACGCCCGGATCTCCTTGTGGCCGGGGAACTTTTCGGTGAACTCCCAGTCGCGCCATACCTCGGGGATGTTCAATTGATAGTAGGGCCACTCCGAGTCCACACGGGCTCCCGGGTACCGGTTCCAGTACCAGACGCCGCCAAAGTCGCCTCCCGACTCGAAGACCTTTGCGTTCAAGCCCGCCTTACGGAGACGATATAGCATGGATATGCCACTGAAGCCGGCCCCGACGACCAGGACGTCGCAGTGGACGATGGCGCCCATCGATGGGTTTGTATCCGTCATCCTGTTTGGGGGAGCAAAGAGAGGTGTACTGGACAAGGTCGAGAGAAGAGTCGTGCAACGGGAGGGAACGAAGGAGATACTCTTATGGCAACTCAACGGAAGGCCTTGTCACACCTCTTATCCCGCGGGACATGTCGTGAAGGCGCTCTCGGGCCTACTAGCCCCGTCCCAATTCCAATCGCCTAGTGCGTCTGATTTGCTGCCCACGATCCATTCCTCTGCCAAGATCAGCTGACAGTGGCCAGTGTGGCATCCTCTATCAGCCTACTGTCCGAGCTCGCCATGGCAGAGGGAAGCGGAGTGAGGGGTCTGCGCACGACATAGCCGGGATTCCTCATTTGAAGTTTGGGCCGGATGTTGCGATTGCCGAGGTCTGTGAAGATGTGGGAACGGCTACCCAAGGTATAGATCTAGAGAGTTGTTGATGGCTGGTGCCCAGGAGAAGTAGAATGCCCTCTGAACTTCCCAGCTGCCGGTTTATGATGCTGCATGGCGAGGCGCCAGAGGTTGCACAACATCTCCTAGTGCCTCTGGTATGTCCGCGAGGAATACGGGTACTACCCAAGTGCCCCACGAAGTGCGCAGCTCGCTAGATCGTAAGCCAGGCTGCGGGGGATCGACTTGTATGCTGACATGCCCTAATAGTAGAATAGAAACCACTCCTCAATTCGTTTCAGTCTATGCCAAGTGCGCCTGAGACCCGAAAGAATCATCAGCAACTACTTCGCCCATCGTATCTCTCCAGTCTTTGAATTTCCTGGCAGGTAGCCGATGCTCAAACATGACATCAATCTCGGCGGCAGTACGTTCCTTCATTTCTGGAACGAAGCGCCAGGTCAGCACCCACGCAATGGCCGAGAACCCTGCGATGATAAACCCCGCCTTGGCCCTGAGGTCACCTTTGTCGACGTTGTATGCATAAGGAAGACTGATCCCAAAGGCTCCCTGTGCTAAAGCTCCTGAGCACCATCCGATCCCTTGGGTCTTTGCACGAAGTCGAAGGGACGATGTTTCGGCGCCGACCACGTACGAGACCGGCCATATCCCGACCCCGACAACGACGATAACCACCATCATGGTGACCGCTGTATACCTATCGAGAGATTAGCAGGGCGGCTCGACCCAACAAAAGAGAGTTCATACCATATCACGACAACACCATCAAAGCACCCAGCAATGCCCATCCCGAGCCAGAGGACTGTGCTGCCGATCAACGATGTCATGCCGAGGACTCGTCGCCCGACTTTGGTCACAACCCACATGCTGACGATATTGGCGAGCAGCCCCAGGCCTACGCCAAGCTGGAGGAACAGGAGAGCGTTATCTGCACTCATGCCGACGACATGGATGAAATAGCTGGCATCGGCGAGTAAGGAGAGCCCAAAAAGCTGGGGCAGCGTGTTTGCAAAGATAACAATCAGCGTGCGCCGTCTGTTTGTGCCTTGGAAACATTCCGTGTACGTTGCGCGATCGCGTTTGGCCCGCTCTTCCTCTTTCTGCAGCGAGACTACCAGGTTGTCTATGTTCTTCTGCGTGTCGGTTCTTGAGCTGTCGAGACGTTGTTGGGCTCTGAATGCCTTGTCGTATTTCCTCTTGCGGAGCAGGTATGTTGGACTCTCGGGCACCAGCAGAGCTAGGACGAAAGGGACAGCCGAAAACGGCCATTGTGCAATCATCGGGGTGGTGTAGGGCCGATTCCCCGGATAGTCCAAGGATGTGTAGACGACGACCGCACCAATCAATTGCCCAAGCAGCGTGAAGACCGGAAAGAATGCCATCACTGACCCCCTCAGCTTCGGCGGTAGGATTTCTGAGAGATAGGTCTGCGTGGTACACAGGAGCGATCCAATTGCCAGCCCCTGAATGAGCTTGGCTGCGAGGAAGGTGCCCCGCCGCGAGTCCAGTACGTCGAGGAAATGAGAGCAATATATGATAGCCACCCCCGCGGCTGACAACAGGCTTCCCAGGGCGAGTGTCGGCCGCCGTCCAACACGGTCTTGAAGCCAGCCGGCGATAATGCTTCCGATCATAATGCCTATGGGGCTGACAGCATTCCACAGTCCCATCCACATTGACGGGATGATGTGGCGGTCATCCAATTCGCGGCCATAGTCTTCCCTGGGAACGATGCTGTTAGCCCTGGGGACGATATTGGTACCGGGGACAGGGCAGACTCACTGAAACGCTGGGATAGCCGAGACGTTGCCAACTATTGACGTGTCAAATCCATAGAGCAAGATGGCCGACGTCAAACCGAATGAATATCCCAGAACTTTGGGCCATTTCCTGATAGACTTCCACAGCGTTGGTTCGTCGTCCACCGACTGCTCAGTTGTCTGCGGCGAGAGGTCGAGGCTCGGCGTCGCGATGGAAACCTCCTTGTCGGCCATGTCTTTTCTGTCCGTGGAGGGCGCGTCGTGGACAAACGGAGTAGTAACTGGGTTTTTGGCACGCGCATGCTTCTTTTAATCCCACTCTGGGTTACAACCCCGCAGTGTGATGTGCTGTGCTTCTCTGCGCCAACCCCAGCAGGGAGGGTGAACCAACACAGTCCGGGGTCTCTGGGGGTGGCATCTCGAAGCTTGTCCGACACAACCAGATCTTCGACCAAAGACTAAAGTGAGATTAGTGAGTGGTTCGCCTCTGGCAGGGGGCATGTCAGACCGTTCCATGTCTCAATCCCAGATCGGCGCGGGATGGTGGTGATGGTCTTCTATAAGGGGAAGTTCGCTTCGCTTGGCCGCCAATCAATCTCTTCCCACTTCCCCCTTCCAGGGTCGGTAAGATGCTTGGAACTGATGGTTTTGCACACTGCCCAGTCGACTAGGAATAGAGCTGAAATTCTTAGCGTCAATGTGATTGCCGAAGAGACTGTGATTGACGCAAAGAAGCAGTGACAGAAGGTCGAGCTTCAAGCCATTCGCTGGCTAGCGCCTGCACATGACAATAATTCCCTGTCAGACGATCATTTTCCAGTGCAACCCTGCGCTTCTTCGGTGAGCGAGTCGATCCTTTTTGTTCTTTGATCCTTTTCCCACTTCTGGAACAAGCCTGCCACTCTGAGCATTTGACACTTGACGCGATGACACAAGACAGAAGGCCGATGGTGCTGGGAGATCTGGTTCCCTCTTCCATTGGGGCTACGGAGTAACTAACTTGTGCAACCACAGCATACACACGGACACACCTGGCCATGCATCCTACCGAGACATTCAAAGCTCTAATGCTTGTCTTCATCTTCATCATAGTGCCCTGACGGATCGTCCTTCAATGACGGGTCCAGAACAACACGTGGGTCATCACTTTCGACCCATCCTAAGAACGGCTGGCTCAGCTTGTAACCCATGAGCTGTTGGATGTGAACAGGCATCTTGAGCACCACCTCCTTTGGAATGGCCAGGTATTCTAGAGTCACGCGTTAGCCTGTGTCACAGGTTTGGCCTGTTCAAAATCGACATTATCCCAAAAAGAGACGGGAACTCACGGTTTTCTTCCTGGCGCAACCAGCCCTTGGTCATGAAGCAACTGAAACCATCAGCATTTCCTCTCGTGCTCGAGTGGCGCGATGACCTTACCTGAAGAGCAAACGTTCTTGGTCTGTCGTCTTGTTGGCAGATCCGCCATGATAACATGAACTCAACATCATAAAAGCATCCTGCATACACCATCAGTATTTTCCTGGTGATTTTATGGCATCGCGCACTTACACCTGGTTCTAACTCTGCGTGCACAGCGAGTTCCTCCTGAGGAGGTCGGTCCTTGGACCACAGATGACTGCCAGGGATAAACCTTGTCGCACCATTTTCTCTGGTTGCAGGTTTGCCAGCAATGAACCAGCCAATGCCAACATCACGGTCATAGTTGTCAGGATATACGGCAACTTCTTTCTCATAAGTCTGATGACACCAGCTATCCCTATGCAGGGGCTGGTCCCACGCGCCTGGTCCGATGGAGAAGCAAATCGAGTTGTTGAGTTGGGGATCCGACGTGGCAAAGATCTTCTTCTGACCACTCCAGTACCAGTTCTTGGTTGTCAGGAACTCCTTGCACACAGCCTGATACAGTGGATGGTTGATGATGTGCTCGGCACAGATCGGACTTTTGCCAATCATACCTTCGACCCTCCGAGTTTGGATCGGAAAGAAGTCTCCCTCCCACACGACATCCGCTTCGATGTGTGGGCGCAACTCTCTTTCCACTTGGGCAAGGATGGCCTTATCAACAGCTCCTTTGACTTTGCATCCACCACTGATTTTCAAGGCTTTGATGACTTCTGCCGGGTCGGCATCAGCCTCGAAGGTGAGGACGGGTGGAAGACTTTCCGCCTTGATTGGGATAAAGGCCCTTTCCGGCGCCGTGGTCGTGACTGTTGTGGTTGCCATTCTCCGCAGCTCTCTACAATGTGGTCAAACTCATCTCCATACCCTCACAAGCCCTCACAAGCCCGTATATAACACATTACATTCCTCTACTGACTTTCCTACCGAAATGGGAAACTGTGGCTTTCCAGGATCCTTATCTCAGAGGCCGGTTCGAGTCGGTCATCTCCACAAACTCACTTGCCCAATTGGGCGTTATCGTTCTTGGCCAACCCTTCTAACCTCGAAGGTTTAGACAGACCTCGATTTGGACCACTTACCAGCCGAGGCTGTTGCATGGTGTATCTCGTCAACCTATCGCAAGGGCCCGGACTTGATGACATTTATCTTTCATGCCTAGAGAGGCAATCGAGGCCTTGCCCAGCTTATCACGCCAACGTGCACGTTCGTATAGACGGGCAGATACATATCATGGCAGGAGAGAAGCTGCCTCCTGAGACAGCGACATCTTCTTCAGTTCCCTCCGGCCAGACTTAGACGTTCCAAACTGCCTCAGGATGGCAACTTCCTCCGCCGCGGGAGACCGCAAAGATGCTCAGATCGACATTGATGACCTTGAATTGCAGGCTCAGGGTTATACCCGGGCTATGCCACGACGATTCTCTCTTCTCTCCCTCATATCGATGTCTTATGCCCTCCTCGCAACCTGGAACGGCTTTGGCAGTGCTTTCGGTACCGGTTTTACCGAGGCCTCTTCCGCGGGTTCCATCTGGACTCTTGCCATCGCCGCAGTCATGACTGCAGTCACAGGCATCGGCATGGCCGAGCTGTCCAGCGCATTCCCTGTTGCCGGTGCTCAATACTACTGGTCCTATGTGGTATCCACACCTGAATGGGCACCCTTTGCGTCATACATGTAGGACGAGAACAGTACCTGTATCGACTCTTGCTAACCAATGCCAGATCTGCGGGAATCAGCACTTTGGGATGGTGGCTCGGTCTTGCCAGCGTGACAAACTTCATTGCGGCGATGATTACTGGAATCGCCGTTCTCAATTATCCAGACTATGTCATCGAACGGTGGCATATCTGGCTGGTCTTTGTTTTGGTTACCTGGTTAGCCGTTGCGATGAATGTGTTTGCGACAAAATGGCTTCCTATGTGGAACAAATTTATTCGTGCGCCTTTTCTCTCAGATTGCCAACTTCTTCACTAATTTACAAACAGTTTACTTCTCGGCAACGGCCCTAACTGTTACAATAATCACGATACTTGCATGTGCCGCTCCCAACTACCAATCCGCGAAATTTGTCTTCTCCGATATAACAAATTCAACTGGCTGGCCAAACGATGGGCTTGCCTTTCTTCTCGCAGTTGTGAATGCTCTATATGGCTTCCTTGGGGTCGATTGCGGCGCCCATTTGTAAGTATTAACCCTTACCCTTACTCTATTTTCTGTCTCGCAGTTGCTGTGACATTTGATAGCTGACTATTCTGCAGATGTGAAGAAATCCCTAATCCGACTGTCAATGTACCGAAAGTTATTGTAAGGCAACTTGTTCGATCGCAAGAGAAACACTGACTGACGGATGACTCCAGATGTACCCAGTTATCATGGGATTTGTGACTTGTGAGTGGTTTATAGGTGTATGGACAAGGTGGCTGACAGAATTCAGCTTTTCCATATGCGATCTCGCTGTCATTTGTGATTACCGACTTTGAGAGCGTTATTTCCACTCCGACCGGCCTTCCTCTGATCGAAGTCTACTATCAAGCCACAGGGAGCAAAGCCGGCACTTCGGTCCTCATGGTGGCGTTTGCGATCTGCTTTTTCGGCTGCGCCACTGCAAACATCACCAGCGCAAGTCGCCAAATGTGGTCAGCATCACGAGACAACTGTTTCCCTCTGTCAAGATATTGGAAGCAAGTCCACCCCCGATGGCAGATGCCGCTAAATGCAGCATGCCTCCAAGCAACACTCGTCTCGGTAAGTTTCCAGCCCCCAAGCGATTACTCTGTTACTGACTATAACCCAGCTGTACGGTCTGATCTTCTTGGGTTCTTCAGCCGCGTTTTCTTCCATGGTTGGGGCATGCATCGTATTTATGACGACGTCATATGTTGTTCCTCAAGGGATCTTGGCCTGGCGTGGACGGGATAAGATTCTCCCGCCTCGACAATTGGATCTGGGGAAGTGGGGTCTTCCGCTGAACGTGCTTGCTTGCGTCTGGGTGATCTTCATCGACATCATCTACTGCATTCCTGCCTCATATCCTGTTACACTGGAGAACATGAACTGGATCAGGTAAGTGAGCCCACCAATGCGCAGTGAGGCTGCTGACGAGGCATTAGCGTGGTGACGGTCGGTCTGGTTTCGTTCCTCCTAATTGCTTGGTTCACAAGCCAGCGACATGTTTTCAAAGGGCCCAACATCAACTTCGAACTTCTTCAGGCTGCTCGCCATGATGAGCTCCTCGGCCATCGAACCATTGAAGGAATTTCAGTTGGAGATGATAATGAGATCATGGAAGCACTTAGGCAGCGCTCGATATCCGAAGCCAAGAAGGTGTAGAAGTGTGTATCCGGGGTTGTAGATTGGTGTCTCAGTCGAAGATGGAACTCTTTTGGCAACAAAATAGTCCCTGTCGGAATTCGTAGGGTCTGATATCTCGCGCAGAAACAATATATCTCACTTTGGGTCTGGTTCAATATCCGCAATCTCCTATCTTTATAAGAGTGGATCGTGGCAGCCGTCTGAATGTCTGAGCTGTGGGCACTAAGACCGCGAGTGGAAACGCGCCGCCAGAATAAGGTCGCCAAATTCGATGTCTGCTCTCTTTCCCTCCTCTTCTCCCTCTCTATATGTTCCTCAGCCCAGAGCCCTGTCTGTTTTCCAACCGAGTTCTATGTGACCTCGATTCTCTTTTACTCTCTTCATGAGAAGTGCGACAGTCGACTCCACGGGCAGACATCGAATGATGGCAGCGGCCTTATCTCCTTATCAGCAACCCTCGTCCGTGTCAAAGGCTCGCCGAACTAACTCTCTAGCCTTTGCAAAATCAAACTGTCATAACTGCGAGGCAATTGGCATACGTTGCGATAGACAACGGCCGCGATGCACGACGTGCCAGCAATCTGGGCGACTGTGCCAGGGTTATTCGATGCAGTTGACATGGCACCGTAACCACTCCACCGCTGATAAGCCCCCTAAAGTGCGGGCGGCTCTCTCCCAAGCGAAGAACGGCACGGCAGCATCCTCTTTCGCTGAAGGCAGTTTACATCACGACGATCACAAGGGCAATGGCGAGGGGTCTGCTTCTACCCATCCCCGGCAGTACATGTTCGTGGCTGGACGGCCAGCGAAAAGACGAAAGCGCCAACACGTCCTGGAAGGCACTACGACAAGAACAGTCTCTTTCGATAGCAAGAGGAACGCTCCTACCACCGAGTTACAATCTCCTCATGAGGCAACAGATGCGTACCAAGTCCCCCCCGTGGTGACCGAATATATGACAGCCCAGACACAAGTAGAGCTGTACTCCCCACAATTGCCATCGCCTTCTGATGCTACATGGCTACATGGGCATTTAGACCCGGACATTGTAACTGAAGTTCAGGCCGTGGGCACGCCCGATAGCGAGAGCCTGGAACAATGTCTGCAAATCCAGCATTCTCAGGTTTCGTCCGCAGCATGGAGCCCTGCTCCGTCGGAGAGTCTCGACGGCTCCTTGTCTGACACTGGGCATCTTACTGATTCTGAATATACAAGCCAAATCAGCCTGTCGTACATTCCCCAAGTCTGCTTTCCGACATTACACGACAAGTTCTCGGGGCTCCTCGACATGTGTACGTTTGAACTCGATGTCCCAGGGTGGTGGATGCAGGGTTTACTGACAATGTTCATTCCAGATGATCAAGAATTCTGCAATTACCCAATCACTTCCGACTTCAGCATCAACCCTTACCGCTATAGGCCCGAAACAACCAAAGGCTCCCAGCACTTGCTGCACGCCATTATGGCCATTTCATGCCACTTTAGGCTACGGTCTCCTTCTCAGCCTTGCCCGCCTATGGAGGCGCTGAGCCACAAAAACACGGCGATGACATTGTATCAAGGGGCGCTGACAGAGACAGGCATCTATAGTAACGCCTTGAGCTTACTGGACACGGCTCTTGCCCTCTGGCAACTTGAGGTAGGTATTCACGACAAGTGGAGCTCGTTGTGTACAGTGTGCTGACTCGCATTTTCCGGAAAGGCCACCATTTCGGCTCTTAACATTTGGCGATCTCACTTGGCCGACGCATATCATCTTTTGGAGCTTTATGGTGGAGTGAGAAGGTGGTCCGTGAATAGGAAAGCGAATGTCCAAGTCTCGATGATTCTTTGGTGAGCTCGAGCAAATTCCGCCCTCACCCAAAATCTTGTGCTGAACAGTCTAGGTGGGACGCCATGGTATCGCTACTAGCACGAACCGAATGTGTCCTGCCCTACGTATACCTCGAGACCGTCCTCAAAACCGAAGGACGGCATCCTTGGACCTTCTACCAGTTGAACGGTTGCCCGCGCGAACTGTTCGTTCCCATGATGCAGCTCGCCAACCTTTCCGGCCGTAAATGGAGCAAGACTGCCTCAGAGTTGGTAACGGAGATTGAGCAGTCAATTACCAAGTACGTGTATCCTGGTCGAGGCCTCGAGTGCGACTCGGACGAGGAAGAAGCGATGCACACCGAACGTGATCGGTATCATTGTTGCGAGGGATTCCGGTATGCATTGCTGATCTACATCCTGCGCATCTTCAAATGGCCACGCGCCGACCGTCCCGAAAAGGTGGGCGCTCGGATCTTGTTCCTTTCCCGCGTCTGCCTCGACCATATCGCGGCATGCCGACCGACTTCATTGATCCAGAAGCAGCTCCTGTTTGCCGTCTTCATAGCGGGGTCAGAGGCACGTAACATAGCACATCGTGAGCTCGTGGAAGAGTACTGCAGGCGGTGGTACAGGAAATTCGGCTACCAGATGTACATGACCGTGCTGGATGTGATGGAGGCCGTTTGGGCCAAACACGACGCCGGAGAGGACGACTTTTGGTGGGGAGATGAACTTGATGCGCGGCGGGCGGAAGAGGGGGATTTTGTACAGTTTTGTTTTGGGTGATCAAGGCACACTATTCTCTTCTCTACTCAGACACTGGGTCCGTGGGGAGTTGTCTCACTCATCAGAGCTCGACTCCTCTGACAGCTTCCTCGGCAGCGACTTTGTTTGGACCAATATCCCGAATTGAGGCAACACGACGTCCAAAGGATCCTCGTCCCGTCCCTTTCAACCGACACCAAAATCAACCCAAGCCATGACTCCATACGCGCTCTGGAGAAGCCTGTCGGCATTTATTCAGTCAGCCTCTTCTCGCCAGAAATCTCCGTCCCATATCCCGTCGCATAGTCTTTGATGTGACTTCCGGCGGCCTCGGCTTCTGTTCTGGCGCGTTCATTTTCCGTCGTTATTCGAGTGCATTTTGCCGCCTTGTCCGAACCCCGCGACTTTCTCCTCCCACGAGCGGGCTCCGCGACAGCCTGCAGAACAGCTACAGAGTCTTTGGCTTCGACGTCGTCTTGATGTGAGGGTGAGTCGAAAGATGACGACGCGGCATCGGACTCGGTGTCGCTGCAGGTCATCCTTGGAGAGGTGTTGTGTCTGTGTCTCGACAATGTGGATGTGAAGATCTAGGTGAGCCAGGACTGGTCAGGTCACAATACGGTGTGGGAGGATTTAGAGGGCTGCTCCTTGCTCAGGGGAGCGGGGGATTGGATGTAAGCAAGGTGTTCGGACAGACCTTGAGTCGTTGAGCTCGACAGCGAGAGGACAGTTTCGACACTGTCGACACTATCCCGTTGACTGGTCACTCGCACAAAGCACTTGGAGTGGTTTGAAGCACGGCCGGCGGTGTTGTAGGTGAGGTGGGAGAAAAGTGAATGGCGAACAAGACACGTCAAAGTGAACAATAACAACAAAGAAACATCCTCTCCCACCCTCCTACGCTAGGCCGGTGATCTGAATCTGGGAGAGGCATGGATAAGTCCAGTCGTCTGGCTTATCGGCACGTGCGTGTCTGGCAGTGGCAGTCGACAACGCCAGCCTTGTCTTTATGGTACAGTATACCGTTGAGTGCAAGCCATAGACCGCTGCATGGGGCATAACGGTGAGAGTCTGGCGTGGGGACAGCCCTTGACCGGCTCCGGCTCTCAAGGATCATGTTAGATCGGGTGTTATTTACTGCATATCCGCTTCGCGGGGATACGCTGTCCATCGCTGGTCATCGGTGTGAGCCATGTGGTCGACTACAAGGCAAGGCTGACACGGAGCCTCGCCTCGCCGTGGGACGGGCGGAGAACGCGGAGTGTTAATTACTGACTCTGGCTCTGACTCCCCTTCTGGGTCTACTTGTAGATAACCTGTGAGAGCGAGCCTGAGTGGCCAGTATCAGCGAGAACAATTTATCCTCTCTCTCGCTCGCTCGCTCGCTCGCTCGCCCGCTTCAAACGACTCTATCGTACCTCCTCAACTAAGAGAGAGAATATTCGACTGCAAATCAGGCAGCTCACAAAGAAGCATTCGGGGGTGCTTGCTTTGAACACACAGCTCCGATTGGGTATCAAGTAGGTATTCTATTCGTGGAGGATGTATTTGTGTATATCACGCCCCACACAATGGAGCTCGCTCGCTCGCTCGCACAGAGGTGGGAAGCAGATCGGATCTTTCATTCATTCATTCATTCATTCATTCATCTTCAGCTTGGTGTTCTGGACCCTTTTTGGCTCCTCATTCCGCAGTATATACTCTCTATATCTCCTTCCCGATAAAAATGCAAAAGCTGTGCGCTCGAGCGCAGCCCAATCCCGTTGTAACCTGGCCTTCCCTGCTGAGGAGCCCGACAGCTGGTTGGCACTCTGGCACTCTGGCTCGGGAGTTTGCTGATCGCGATTGCCATTTATCACCACCGCTGTCATGCTGGGTACATTTGTGCGTCCGTGACGATTTTCGCGCCCATCCCAACTCCCTGAGTCTTCCATTGCCGACAGGGCTTCGCCAGTCAAGCCCGCCAAGTCTAATGATAAGGCCCACTGATTGGTCGGTTCCTTTGAGTCTTGCACATATGCTCGCTTCTGCAGAGGCCATACATGACGGAGAGATCTGTTCGTGGTGGTGGAGCGATATTTCTCACTCATGGCGTCCCGCGCTGAGGATTGGGGAGGCAGAAGGACGAGATGACCACGGCGGCGGTGTCGGTAGTCACAGGCACGGAATGATCTGGGCTCTCTGTGATTGACTGACGACGGTTGAAAGTCGATGCGGAGAGGCCAGGGTGTAATGGAGCATCCGTGCTCTCATGCTCGCAGCTTTTTGGCCAAGGAACTGGGCGTGCTTGAAGAGAATGAAGCTGTGGGGAGCACTTCTTGACGACATCATGGTTGCTGAAGTCATCGCCGTTGATGCGGGGCGGAAGTCGTCGTCGCTGTCCTATCCGATGGCTCCCAGTCATGGCCGTTCGACGTCTGGACAAATCCACTGGAGACGACAAACCCGGGCGTCAACCGTGTCGCTGCTTAATTTGTGTTGTCGAAGATGGTCGGAATGCTCGTTTTCTGCTCACTCCTCACCGCTGCCACTCGAGCTTGCACCGGAACTGGAACCCGCCGTCGAACTGGCGCTCGCACTCGCTGCGCGCTTCCTCTCTCTCTCCTCCTTCTCCTGCCGGGCCTTGATCTTCTTCGCAGCCTTGTCGATGGCTTTCCTCCTCGACGCACTCCACTTCGCCACCTCTCCAGCATAGTACAGGCGGTACGCCACGTCGTTGTTCGTCATGCCCGGTTTGACCGACTGGAAGGTGTAGACGGGTCCCAGCGCCGGGTCGACGGATGGGTCCAGGACCATCTCCAAGCCCTTTTTCCGAAGTTGGGGATTGAGTGATTTCATTTTGTGTGTGTTTGGATGCACAAGCTGAACCTGGGGGGGACAGTGCCGGCGTGAAAGAATGTGGCCGTCTATTATACCTCAATGCAGAGCTGCCACGTGACCGGTAGAGTATCCGCGAGATCCCGAGCTTGCGCCGAAATGACAGAAAATTCTCGCCAGGGTCGAGCTGGCCAGGATCGTGATCTCCCTTTCGAGCGAGTTATCGCCACAGGGATGATTACAGAAGCAATCTAGCTCGCTCGCATTGTGATGTATCTATCAACAATCAGCTGATATTCCTGCAACTCCGGGCCTGACGTACCATATATCAAATCTACAGTCTAATCTTCGCTCCCAACCCCTTTCCTTCGTACCAGATGTTTTCCTGCCACTTACCTATCCTTACGCCAACATCCGCCTTAGCATCCAATTTCAGGGTGCCGCCAAGCGCATCCCTGATGGTGCCCAGTGCGTTCCCACCCCATTCGACGGGCAGTTTTGGCGTTAGATTCTCTCCGGGCTCGATCGCAAACGGGTAGTTCCATTCGATTGTTCCGACCTCTGACCCGTTGTAAAAAGCTGCTGCTGCAATGTTGGTGACGTAGAAGGCGAGCGGCGACACCAGAATGAATGTTGCGGTTGAGGAAAATATGTGCATCTGCTCCCGTCAGCCAAATTTCGGAAATGTTAAGCCACGTACCGTTGCTTCTCTCAGGGGATGCGACAGCATATGTGGAGCTGGGACTGTCATTTCCACACCGGGATCAGGAAAATTCGGTATCGAGCCAGTGTGGCTCTTGATAGTCAGACTCGTATTGTACCCCGAGATATATTGAGAAAGCCATTCTCGTCCAATTTTACCCACTTCCCATGAAGCATTGGCCGTGAGGTTGTTGGGACCCGGCACGACATGCTGTGAAGTCGCCCATGCATAACCGACGCGAGTGTCGTTGACCCAGATGCTGACATTGCAGTACGGAATCGTGGCCGAATAGTCCGTGGGATTCGTCACATTAACCCTTGCCTGTAGAGTTAATGAGGTTTCGGACGTGGCAACGACTTCCATACCCTTTATTTCCGGCATCTGGAAATCCCCAGCGCGAAGGGGCTTGATGAAGATCTCGCCCTGTGCTGGTATTCTTCGGACTACAAATTCTCCCAATGCGGTATGGGTGTTGACGTCAACGGTTGCTTGCACCGAGAGCGAAGCCCCTTTGCCGAATATCAGCGCCTGGACGACTTGGGAGAATAACGCCTGGTTCTTGATCTCAAGCGGTGCATCCTTGACGATGGACTGGATCAGTAAGTCATCATCCACCTGCGTCGCATTCGCCGCTTGCCATTTGGAGAGGTCAAGGTTGCCGAGGAGCTCCCCTTTGTAGAAGACGTCAGAGTCGGCTCTGACCCTATCAACATCCAGATTGACGTTCATTTCCGCGGGTAAGCCGATCAAGACTTTGACGACCGCTGATATCTCCGGCCGTGAATCCGTCATCGGATCTGGCAGAGCAAAATGAACATCCGCCAAAGAGAAATTTTTGATGAGATTGTCAAAAGGATGACCAGGAAGCGAAAATGGGAGCATGGTATCCTGTAAAAGCTTTCCTATCCAATCCGGAGTGGTCTCGTCTTGTTGTCCCCCGCGGATGTAGACAGTGGTATCTCGGCCAGCGAGGTAGTCGGCAACCAGACTGTCCAAAGGGGAGGTTTTCGAGCCAGGGCATACAGACGTCAGAGATGTAGGCAACTGCTTCACCAAGCCAGTCACATCGGCGCTAACGTTCCGCTTTGGCAAGATATGGATGACATCCGTCTTGGCTGTTCCGAAGAAGAGGTAATTCTCTGAGCAGTCTGGGAGAAGGATTTCGAACGCCAACGGTGGCACATCGAATTTGACGGGATATTGATTCATGACAGAAACCATGGCCATAGCCTTAACGCCCTCGGGATGTCCAGGCATCCCATATTCCGCAAAACGAAGTTGTTGAATATCAAAGTTTGGAACCGATGGCACATCCTGACCCTTGAATTGCAGAGTTTGCGAAATGGTTTGTTTGCCCAGCTTGATCAATCCACTTTTCAGAGAGACGGTTGCAACGGCATTGACGGTGATTTCGTCGAGTTTTCGATCCATGAAATCCTTGGCAACTCGGCGGACACCGTCAAGATCACCCGGCTCCAGATCAGCAAAGAGGTCAATATGGTTGTATTGATGGTTGCGGATGCTGACGCGGACAGGAGGAATGGTGACCGTCCCTAACAGGACATCGTCGTACTCTGGAAGGTAGACATTCACCTCTGACTCTCCGGTCTTGACTTCTTTAGCCAGCCAGGTCCCAAATCTGCCGAGACTCCTTGTGGCCTTGTTGCGGACTCTTGAAGCATCCATGTAAAAATCCCCTTGAACCCTAGCACGGATACCGAGAGAGGTAAAGGAATCGATGGAAAGCCTAGTGGGCTCGAAGACAACGGCTTCTTTCGCATATTCTTGGATTGTAGATGGTAAGGTGAGTCCAAAGCATACTGCCACCACGACCAGACATAGAATAGTCAGAGCTATTATGCTTGGCCATCTCGGTTGCTTCTTGGGTTTTGGGGAATCTAGCGACTCGGGCAAGGGAGGGTTCACATCGCCGTTGGGCTGGTCAGAGTAATTTGATCGAGAGTCATCTTCAGGGCCGGAGAGGAGGGGGGTGCGTTCGGAAGGGGGCGGCGAGGTCTGCGGTGTGGCCATGATGAGCAGGCCGAGAGCTGCTCCGTAGAGTCGATTCAAATCATGGATAGGGAGGATAACAACAATGGCAGTCGAAGTGGTGAGAGACGAAGAAAGTGGTGACGAACACGAGGATGGAACTCGGCATGACAATTGGCGCTCCACGATCTGCAAGGAACAGGCTAGTCAGGCTCCCGACCGTTGGTGTTTCGCGGGGCGAAAACGCAGGCGGAAAGTCTTCCGGATGTCCCCATGTCTTGTTCGCCATTGTCTATCTCAACTCGCGCAGTCTCGCAGCCAACTTCTTGATATGGTCCGGTCTGGTCTTGCAACATCCACCCACAATGACCCCTTTCCATTTAGCTCTCTCTGCCACCTCCTCGATAATACTGTACACTTGCTGATCCCACGGCAATTGGCCCTCGTCATCGCCTATCCATTTCTGCAATTTGGTGTCGTACACCTTCCCGCCAGCACCGTCTGGATAGATGACCAGTCTCGGAAGCTCTAGAGCATGCACATTTGCAGCATCTTCGAATCTCTTGATCAAGCTGGCAATCTTATGGACCTTTGTACAATTAATACCAATTGCGTACGGGGTTCGCTCCCCCTCCAGCATCGTCTTGACCAATTCTTCCACGCCTGTACCGTCAGGCAATTCCTCGCGGCTATTTGGGAAGACACAGGATATCCAATAGGGCTTGTCGTGCACTTTTTTCATCATTCTCCTTGCTGCTCTTACTTCGTCGATTCTCGGCAGAGTCTCGGTTGCGATCAAATCAATATCCTCCCACTCTGCACTATCCACAAAGCACAAGATCCTGTCGACGTGGAAGCAGAGGAGGTCGTCTTCAGTCATGTCACCGTATTGTCCAGTATATTCAGTACTAGGAACCATGGTCGCACCGTATGCACCCAAGCTCAGAGCCACCAGGCCCGGTTGTCCATTGAAGGCTTCTCGAGCAATTCTCACTGCAGAGAACATATATCTCCTTGCTTCTTCTCGATCAATACCGTCCTCTTTTGTAATTCGAGTATTCTTGAAGCCGTGGAAGCTCGCCTGATAGGTGGCAGTAAGAATAATGTCTGCTCCTGCTTCTGCAAAATCGCGCTGGACCGTTCTGAGGGCCCCCACGTTGTCGATCAGAAGGTGCGATGACCATAGTGGTGTTGCAGACGAGAATCTTATACCGTGCTCGTCCTCAAGCGTTGTGCCTAGTCCGCCATCCAGCAGAAGGATCGGCTTGTGCAATAGCGGGTTTGTCATATTGGTTGGATGGACAAGAATTCTTGTAGGAGGAATGGCAAGGCTATGTCGGTATGTAGAGGCAGACATGTGCACACACTGGGGCCAAAGAAGCAGAAGGTTCCCCTCACGGGGGATCGACGAACCAAAACCCTCAGACTGCGGAGCATGACGCCGCCGACGCTGCGGGAGCTGCATTGTTTTTCTCCCCCAGAGTGTGACTCGAAAAAAGAAAAATTTGTTCTGGGAGTCAAACAAAGTCTCGCTCTCCAAAGAGATTTCTCCAGGTTGGCATTGCTGGCAATGTACCCTACTCTTCCACAGTGCCAGCATTGAACTACCTACGCGATGGCAGCTCTACGTCCCTTCCTCTCCCCTCTCCGCCAATGTGGCCGCTCGCTGTCTACCTCGACGAAGCCTAGTCCCCGTCACCTCCTGTCCCTGTCTGAGCTCACACCGACAGAATTGAGCACGCTCGTAAACAACGCAACGACCTTCAAGTCTTCTGCCCTTCAGCCAACATGGCCCAAGCGTACCGCACTCTCTAACAGGACCATCGCAATGCTCTTCTCTAAGCGCTCGACACGAACAAGAATCTCAACAGAGGGAGCCGTGGTAGCGATGGGCGGACATCCTATGTTCCTTGGCAAGGAAGATATACAACTCGGGGTGAACGAGTCACTATATGATAGTTCAGTGGTGATATCGAGCATGGTAGCAGGGATAGTGGCGCGTGTCGGTCCGCACTCAGACATTGCAAATCTCGCAAAGGACAGTTCGGTGCCAGTGATTAATGCGCTATGCGATACCTACCATCCTATGCAAATCATTGCCGACTTTGCGACTCTGACACAGACGTTTTCCACACCGGCCGAGAAGTTAAAAGGTTTGAAGATCGCCTGGGTAGGAGACGCCAACAATGTGCTGTATGATATGTGCATTGGGGCCAGAAAACTGGGTATTGAAATGGCGGTAGCGACACCCAAGGGCTACGAGATTCCTTCGAACATCAAAAAGGAGATCGAGGCGGCGGGACCAGGACAACTCTTTGAAACCACTGCGCCCGAGGAAGCAGTCAAGAACGCGAATATCATAGTCACCGATACATGGATCTCCATGGGCCAAGAATCTGAGAAGCAAAAACGTCTGACGGCATTCGAGGGTTATCAAGTGACGGAAGAGATGGCTCGCAGGGGAGGGGCAGCGGAGGACTGGAAGTTCATGCATTGCCTACCGCGGCATCCGGAGGAAGTGAGCGACGAAGTCTTCTATGGCCCACGATCGTTGGTATTCCCGGAGGCGCAAAACAGGCTCTGGTCGGCGATTGCCACGCTTGAGGCGTTTGTGGTGAACAAGGGAGAAATCAAAAAGGCGGAGCAGTAATAGATTTTGAGCAAGGTGCTCCCATGTGTCATATTGCATGCACTAGCCTCTGCCATCCACAAGCCAGGGAGATTGTGGATAATAGTATATCATCCTCTGTCCACGAGGGAGAGTGACAGGGCAATACACCGAATGACCACTTCCGCAAGGAGGAATCGCTAGAATATCGGCCTCGATTATATACCCAAATGCAAGCTTGTGATTGGACAAAGTATTTGGGAAGCACATGCCTCGGTCTCCAAACCACAAGAAACCCTGCCAACCCCGAAGACGACATCATCTGCTTCTCTCGTTCCCACGAACAAACAGCTCTCTCCTGACCGGACGGCGCCCACCTTCTTCCTTGCCGACCGTGGATCATAAGAGCCTCACCCTCCAACTCCCTCAAGAGTCTCATTCCCAGTCAGAAGAGTACTTGTAGGAAAAGGCCATATGGAAGTCTGTCTCCCGACACGACCTCTCCCCCTCTGCATCCCGCCACAGCAACCCTCGTTACCTTCACCTTGTCGCTCCCCTTCTGCCATAGCAACCCATCTTCCATCCACATATACCAAAGATATTAACTACAAAATGTCACAGTCCCCTTCTTCACCTCTGAGTCGGTCCTCGTCCTTTGCCCCCGGGCCGCACCGCCGCTCCCATCCAAACCTCCAACACTTATCCCTGGCGCCCTTGACACCCAAATACCCAATCGACCCGGCCGACTACGCCGCCTACTTCAACCCAGCGACCTCAGAGCTACACACCTCCGCATCCATCTCCCACATCGCGAGCTTACCGTCCCCCGGCGGGATTCTGTCGAGGAGCGGCTCCGCAGCGCAGTCACGGGCGCAGTCGCGCGCCAGCTCCCGGACGCGACTGAACCAGAAAAAGAAGAATCGCTCCTTTGTGGCGGTCCAAGCCCCTTTGCCTCTCACGGATGGCACCACAGGCCTCGCTCCGCCTTCTGGGGCGCTGACGAGCGAAGGGCTCGGCCACAAATCCATCTCCCGTCTCTCCACCTTGACAAACCTCTCACCACAACAGACGCATAACCCCTCAGAATACTCAGGCGGCGGGTCCTTGCACAAGTCGGACTCGTCGTGGTTCATCCAGACGGGTCTTACCTTGACCGAAGGGTCAAGAGAATCAAAGGGTCAATCATGGATATTCAAGCGCGACTCTTCTACGTCCTTGGCTACACCGATCGATGAACGACCGTCAATGGCTTTAAGATCCGGACGCGCGACACCAAGCGGCAATCTCAGCCGACGAGGCAGTTTCCAGAGACGTAGTAAGAAATCCCTGGCAATGACGCCCGTCCCGGCCACGACGCCCATGATAGAGATGGACACGGGCCCAGACTGGGCGGACGAGCAGACACAAGCCGAGATCGCGGCACAGATGGACGCCGATTTTGCAGATGAATTGGACGACGGCGATCCATATGGCATGCTGGATTTCGAGGCCCAGTTCGACAGCGATGACGAGGAGGAACTACGAAAATCGATCAGCGGGTACAGACTAGGCAGATGGATGGACGGGCTTGTGGATGTCTTCTTGCGGTTGGAAGATGACTTTTCCCCTTCCCAAGTCGACCTGGAGGCTGCAAAGACGACCATTCATTCCGACCCTGCCACATCTACGGCTCCGCCAGCGAAAGATGCCGGCCACCCTGGGCCTAGTGTGCGGTTTGACGAGTCAGTGGAACCGCCCCCGGAAAGGCCCAAGGGTGTCTGGGACGACGTCGCCTGGTTTGGCCGCATGCTGGCGAGGACGGTGCGATCATAGCTGACTGAATGAATATGAAATGCATTTGTCTCTTGATTCAAGATACGGATTCCCCCTGTTCCCCCTTTGCCTTGTCGCCACTTCATCAAGTCGCAGCGCCTCCACGTCCCACCATTTCTCCCTCGCCAGCGGGACAACAGTACAAAAGCTCCTCATCGCCTTTAGTATGTGCTTCTCATTTGAGCTCGGCGGCTTGCTGCCTGTGCACCTTTGGCTTCCCCTCTCTCGACCTCGACTTGTTCAATGCAGAGCTCTGCCTGCCACGGTGGTGAGTAGATTGATCCGAGATGTGTTGCATTTACTGCGTTGGGATTGTGAAACTCGGACTTGATATCGAGCGCCCTTGCACCGTACGAAAGAACTCGGCTCGGGTTGTCCGCATATGGTAGCGTTCACCATTATCTTCAGCATGGAGCATAGCATCCTGTTGTTCACTTACTGCTTTGATCAGAACGAGTGGATTTGGCAATGCGTGTTCAATGAATGCCTTCAGTGGTTACGGTTACTTTCCCAGACGAAGCTGAATCTTCCCGCCAGACTTGAGCGGCTGCCAACTCTAGAACCCTTTGGAGGACTGTTCGCCGCGAGAGAGGAACAACAGAAGCTAAGTACTAAGGGACAAAATGGGAATCAAGTCCCAGCTAGAATCAATTGTTCGAGAAGCAAGCCCAAATCATGTATAGAGCCATAGTTGCGCAAGCACTGTGACGCCTGCCTCCGAATCTCAGCATAAGACTCCCCTGTCTCCATGTGGCTGCTTTGACTAAAGGATGTGCCAGATCCGCCCAAGCTTGTCCTTCGCTAATACCATTTTTCCTGCTCGCTCGAAAGCGAACGGCACGCCCTGTGATGATGTGGGTGGTTTCCCTCGTCCACGAAGCCCGAGATCTGAGACGAGTTATTCGATAACCGGTCCTATGATGCAAACTCTTTTGACAGGCTGCTCGCCGACAAACTCGACCTCGTCGTCGTCGGCATCGTTCCTACCTCTTTCGAGGTCAGCAAGCTGGGTGAGGTTGGACTCTGCATTCTCTTTCTTGATCTTGACCTTTTGCTCCGCTTGCGCTGCCTAGAAAGCTGGGGTGAGTAGGTATTCTGCTGACATTGTTCGCACCCATCGCACATACCTTGAGCCGACGAGCCAGTTCCTTGAGTTCATCAGGAGAAAGGGTCTCGATATCTCTCTCCTCCAACGGCTGAGGGGTTTGAGGTCGTTCAAGTATGCCGAGAGCTTCCAGCGATTCTGCCAATGGTCAGTTTTGTCCGTTTTCTCCGCGTGAGAGTCGTACCTTTGCTTCGGTATTTGAAAATGAAGACTGCGTAGGGCTTGTCATCGACTTTGGTACCTTTATAAAAACTGCCCGCTTTGTGAGGTCTGGGGACGTCGAGACTGAGGAGAATTAGTATTTACTTCGGCTATTGCGGCTTTCTTTACTTGGCTCTGAGGTCGATTGCTTCGCCTTTGATGGCCTTCTCGGGAACTGGGTCGTGGATCTTCCCTTTCCGTACTTTCGGCTTCGGAGTACCTTTTCCACCGTTCATCCGCCACACCCCCACCTTGATTGTGCCGAGATTCTGATAGTTTCTTATATCTTGTCCCTCGCAGGACTGTTCGGCTAGTGACATTAGTTTGTAGCCAGGTGTTTGCTCGGGGGCTGATATACTCGAGGTCAGACTAGCCCAACGAAGCGGATAGCAAACTCCCTGGCCATTGCTGGACAGCTCAGTGAGACCCTTATACCTGTGCTTCCACACGCTGCCACCCTTTTGGTAGTCTTCTTTCGTACAGACGTTTCCTCCAAGGTGTTCCCCGTCGACGGTGACCGTGAACCGCAAATAATTGGCTTTTCCGAACCCGAATTTCTTCCCAACCCTAAAGGCGATTGTGAAATTCGCATCGGAGACGCCTTGAATATATTTCACTAGGGTGTCATCAGGCGTGTCTTTCATGTCTGGAGAAGCATCGTTGTCCGGAGGGTGATACTCTTGCAACTTCTTGCCACCGCTGCAAATACTGACTTTGACCTTTTTGATGACCGCCATTTTGCAGGAGGGAAGCTCGATGGTAAGCAAAGGAATCAGAAGTGGGATGGAGCTGTGTAAATAGGTGGCAATGACTAAGCCAGGCGACGCAAAGACCCTAAAGTTCTAGGAACCATAGGGGTACAAAGGATTCACGAGAGGGAGAGACACATAGAATGAAGCGGTGTACAGGTGTGAGGTAGCGGAAAGTCACATACACATGATAGAAGAGAATCACCAGAACATTGGAACTTGGAAAGCCAGAGAAAAAATCCGCAATGAAGCACAAACATCAATATGGACGAAGTGAGAGACTTCCAGGCTGGGGAACATCTCAAAATCCACTCAACGCGTCATTCGCGGACGGCCCGACGCGTGACCGTCTCTGGCGACCCACAACATTCAGCCTCGTGGCCTGCCTGCTGGCCGCCCCTCGCCTTTCCCCATGACAACAGCCACGACAACATGCATGAATTGACAATGCATCACTTGACCGCCTTGACGACCCATATCCCCACGATGTAATAAGGGATACAGCATACAAATAGAAGAACCACCACGATCGCTCCCTGACTCCTCCTCTCCCTCTTTCCGCCTACCCTCTCTCCGCCATTCCTCCACCTCCCTCCGCGGCCTTCTCGAGATATCACGAACAATGCACTACCCGACCGCCTACATCGTCCTCTCGCTCCTCTCGCTCCTTGCACCCACCGCGGCATGGGGCTCGCTCGGCCACCGCACCGTCGCCTACCTGGCGTCGACATACTTCACGCCCGAGTCGACGCGGATGACGAACCACCTGCTCAACGGGCAGGACATCTCGGAGGCGGCGCTCTTCCCGGACAAGGTGCGGCACATGCCGCAGTTCGCGTACACGCGGGGGTGGCACTACATTGACGCGCAGGACACGCCGCCGGGCCAGTGCGGGATCAACATGACGCGGGACTGCGCCGTCGCGGGCGGCGGGTGCGTGGTCAGCGCCATCGCCAACCACACGGCGCGCGTCGCCGACCCGGCGCTGCCGCACGCCCTGCGCGGCCAGAGCCTGCGCTTCATGATGCACTTCTTCGGCGACGTCCACCAGCCGCTGCACACCGAGGCCGAGGACCGCGGCGGCAACGAGTACATGGTGCACTTCGACGGCCGCCGCACCAACCTGCACAGCGTCTGGGACACGCTCATCCCCAACAAGTACGCCGGCATGGGCCACGACGACGAGTTCGCCGCCGCGTGGCTGTGGGCGCAGAGACTCTCCGGCGCGGAGACCGGCCACCGCGGAGGACGCCTCGAGGGGGAGGGGGAGGGAGAGTGTCTGCACGACGCGGCAGACTGCGCGCTGTCCTGGGCCGGGGAGGCGAATGGCTACGTCTGCTCCTATGTCTTGGCTCACGACGTCCACGACCAGGACCTGGGCGGCGACTACTACGAGGGTGCCATCCCCGTCATCAACGACTTGGTCCAGAAGGCTGGACGAAGACTAGCGGCCTGGATCAACTCCATCTCTGCAGACTACACGCCTAGTTATGCCGATAATGTGGACCTCGATCACGCAATACAAACCCAGTAAAGTTGGAAGGATATCCTCGTCATTGAGCCTTCCAATAGTCAGTTGTCAGCTATATAGAGCAATGTTGTTGTTGTTTTCCTCGAGCGCCGGCTTGTCGATATAGACCTAGAGCTTGCCCAAGCTCGGCGTCTTCTCATGCCATGATGGAGGGGAGTACAAACTCGAACCACCAGGAAGGTACAGATAACAGAGAAGAGGCGATGCGGCCGTGTGATATTCAAGCGAGTCGCGGTTCGTAGTTGAGCTTGACGCCAATTTTGTGCCACTTCCGCTGCTGTCCTAGCAAGCCGCCCTCATCCCTTTCCCCCGTTCAGCCTCGTGGCAGTCTTGATGGCACTCAAACATTACTTGTAGTGTTACAAAAGAAAGACAGCACGTATCTTCCTGACCTAGGCCGGGCGGTCAGACACCACGGTTCCCCTTCCCTCAAGCGACCTGCTCAGCCAATTGTTCGCCCCGCTCATCGACAATGTCCCTCGCAATTCTCTGCGCAGACGTCACTAGCCCTCCATAATGATCGTCCAGTCGTCCCTTCTCCACAAAGCTTTTGAGTTTTGTTTGTTCCTTTTCCATGTCCTTTCGAAGGCTTTCCACTTCACTTTCGGCCAGCCTATCCTGGAGACTGACAGGGAATGCTTCACGCCGTAAAAGGTCGCTGGGCGAAAACAAATGGATCGGCGTTCCTTCCAGCTGTTCCAACAGGAAAACATGCTGTAAAACACGGAACAGACTGGATTGTTGTAACTCTTCCTCCACTTGCTGGTCGTCTTTCCCACCAGTCTCGTTCAAAGCAAGCCAATCATCGCGAATCATCGCTCTTCTCCAGATAAGCGCTCGAAGATCATCTTGCTTTGGCACCGGCAAGTTCGATTCATCCACAACATTCAGGGCGAGAATCAACTCTTGACCGCTGACCTCGGGATCCTCTTCAGGAGCTCCACTCCACACAATCGGTTCCATCAGCGTTAGGAGACTAACCAATTCTTCCGCGGTCAAGGGCGTCTGACGTATCAGCGACTTCAAGATCTGCTTCAGCTCTCGTTTCAATGCTGGGTATCCTGCCACCACGCGGGAAGCAAAAGTTCCCCCGGCAAGATCGGTCGCGGCTTTCTCGTCCAGGGCCGCACCAACCGATCCCATCACATGTCTGTAGACTTGCTCCTGAATGGCGATCATCGAAAGAGCATCGTCATATACTTTCAAATCTCTGTGCTTGCCGCTGCCTTCATCCGCAGCCAAGCTAGCCAGCTTTCCGAGTGCCAATTCGGTCTTTTTGTTCCAAACATTACTGGTCTCTTCGCCAGCCACATCCTGGAGTGTCCTTGCAGCACGGTGGTAATCGTCGCATGAGATCACATCGTGGATCCAGCTGAGTTTGCCGAGATGTTGATGAGCCTTAGGAGCTATCTTGAAGAACCAGGTAAGGAATTTTTCCTTCTCCCCATCCTCTTGGCCCTTGACCAAAAGACTTCCGCATTCACCGTCGATCAGCATCTGGCTGAAAGCGGCAAACGCCCATCCTTTGCCAAATTTCCCATAGTAGGACTCGGCTCTCTCTTGCATCTCCTCGAGCTTGTGTTGATTATCTTCGGCAAGACTTGGGTCAGCTTGAGCTTCAGCCACCAGTTGCTTATAGTAGTCGTAGTGCAGGGTCACAAGATCTGCATAATATTTCAACTTTTCTGCTAACCGGATTGCCCCGGGCATGTTGAACAACGCAATGGCTTGCAGTGCCTGGCCCAGCCTTTCCTGCTCTTCACGCTCGAGATTGTTGAGCTCGTCCTGCAACGCTTCGGGATCTTTTTCGTGGGCTTTCAGATGGCACTTCGATTGAATGACCTCCTCGCGCACCAGTCGGGAAAAAAGTTCGAGTTCTGTCGGTAGACGGCTGGCCAATTCCTGGAGGGCCAGTCTGCTGGGTGCTTCGTGCGGCTTGCCGTCTACGTCCGTTGGCATCTTCTTCTTCTTGTTTCTTCCATGAGCGAACTCCCACCACTCATTTAAAAACTTGCAGATGTCGTATATTAGACTTTGGCCAAATCGCAACGGCTCTGGACTTGACGTCCAAGGATGAGGGATCTCGATAGGAAATCCCGACACAAGTACTCCATTCTCGAAGACCTCATCTCCAAGTCCGTAAAGAGGAGCATTGTCTTCACGGAATTTGAAGGCGGCGGAGTATGATGCAATCCAGAGGTCAACTGCTTCTTTGAAATAGTCGGCGACCACCCTGGGATCTGTCACATCCATCGGTTCAAGTTCCGGGATGCAGCTCACCAACTCAGACATGAGATGGCCGACGTTCTTAACGCTGTTCACAAGCCAATGTCTTACCCGATCTTTCTCTCCTCTCTCAGGGTCCGGGTATTTTTGCCGTGATTCATGCAAGGCTCGGAGTGTAAAATCCAAGTACGACATCTCACGATCGGGTTGCGGGTATTTTCGTTGAATCTCTTCTTGAACTTTCCATATCGCTTGGGCAGCGGCGAGCTTTTCGGCATTCAGTAGTAGCCCAAAACGCGTTATCCGAGACACCGCAGAAGGATAGTGGTTTATTACATGTTCAGCCAGATCGTCGAGGGCTTTGGCACGAAGTCGCATTTGCATGTCGATCGAGGGCGCAGACTTTGGAAGATGTTTGGATGAAGAAGACAAGATCTCGGAGCTGATCTCCAAAGCTGCTGTTTCGATTTCCTCGGGTGAGAACGTTTGGTTGGCGTGCTTGAGGTCCAGGGGGTTTTGTTTGATGGTGCCAAAGAAGACTGCTTGTTCTATTTTGCTCTTCGCCGTTATTCGATCCCGTTCTTCAGCTTCCTCCACGTCAACCTCCTCATCATCGCGAAGATGAGAAGTCAATTTCACCATGCCAAACCCTCGTACACCGAACACAATGGAAGACTGTTTCTCCGTCGTTTCCAACGCGAAGCCAAGAACCTCATAGATAGTTGACTCTTGGAATCGGACGCAATCTTGAAATGGTTCGGGCAGTGCGTGTCGCTCCATCAGTAACTGAGAGGAAGGTGATTCTCGGATCCTGGCCAGCGAGAACAGCACAATAGCAGTCTCAAAGACAATGAACGTCACAGGTTGAGATTTCGACACACATAGTCGGGGTCTCCAGTGGCTGGATTCTGACGCCGAAGAAGAATAGCAATTGACAGGGTGCATCACTTTGACTTTCGCCCCTTCATCAACAACCATCTCAATGATATGATACCTCGTTTCCAGTTCCGTCGAGCTGGAAATAAGTACCATCATTGGCGCACCATGGCTGTCTCGTCGGCTGAGGGCCATACTCGGTCCTATCGAGAGCTCCACGTCCAGAACCTTGAATTGCGTCGCATCCGGCTGTGTTGATTTTAACGCGTCCAGAATTTCGTCCTTGAAGTTGAATGAGTTCTCGAGGGAGTTTCCAACAGCCAGGTTCGTATTCCAAAATTCCATTTCAGCATCCTCGGTTGCGATGACTACATCGCGCTGCCCCTTTCTCGAGCCTCCAGCTTTGATTATTGGCGTCCCTTTCCGTCGATCGGAGCCAAACACATTTCTGATGCTCCCAAAGATACCTCCCGACGCGTTTGTGTATTTGCGAAGGAATTGGACGCCAATTCCAGGTCTTCCCATTTGGTCGCGAATTGTCAAGTGGGCGACACGGCCATGACGGAGCGAAAGGATAAATCCCGAAGGCTCCGCGTTGACCAATTCTTCCACGACCTCGCCACTCATCATCCCTGGTATTGAACCTTGGACACTTGAAACTTGCCCCGGTATGACAGAGGAAGCGTTGGACAGGGTTTCCCAGTATACGACTTTGCCCCATTTTGCAGATACTGCCACGATTCCGGGCTCTCCGCTCGCAGATTTTGCCGTGAACGTTGCATGTGGTAGGGGATCGCCCACGGAGGCAGGAGGAAAGGGCAGTTTGAAGGTGATGACATCTCTCGATGGCGGCGTTGATGCGGTTGAGTTGTAGGGCCAGATTATGGCGTCGGTATGTGTCAATGCCAATGCGTAGCCATATTCAGGGGAAACAACACAGGAATATTGGATGCTCGGTCGATTTCTGATCTGGTCTGGGAGGGCAGGAAGCTGGGCGACGGTATAGAAGTCGTTACTAGACAGGGTCAAGCCGGCATTGGTACTGGTAGCTCTGTCGGCGCGCTTTTCTGCTTTTTTGGCTCCTCGCAAAGTCAATTCTTTCGTCGGCGCAACCGTAACTGTATGTCCATTGCTCTTGCCCTCAGCCACATCTCTTCCTGCCGCATCACCAATGCTTGATTCGGTCAGGGGTTCAAAGGTATCTCGTCGTAGGGCAGATCGTTTTCGCTTCGCCTGGGGTAATTTGAGAGAGTCTTCTGGGCCTGCTGCCTGACGTGTTCTTTTGGGACGCAGCGACTGGGTCCGCGAGGTGTCTGTGGAAAACATCCTGCCCAGAGAGACCAAGACGCCCTAGAGAAGGAAAAGAGAAAGAATTAGAGCGGCTGAACCGTTTGTTGATGATGGCGGCTTGGAATCATTATAATGTTATTGCCGTGCTAAACCCCGGAAGTCTCGCTGTCGCGTTCGTTTTCGCCAAGGTGAAACAAAACCGGCAGCCAATTTTTCCTTTTTGGGAAAGATTCTTTTGCCTGCCTGCCTTGAAGCCATTCACGCCGCTTTTATGTATTCCCTCAAGTCTTCTTTGATTGTGCCACTCCAGTCAATTTTGGAGCTTTTCTTCTGAAGTAGCTCTGCAACGGGGGTTTTGACCGCTTGCTTTGAAGCGTGCTTCTATATCTTCTACCGCATTTCTCGTCTGTCTATTTCGGTACCAGCGACCTGAGTGAAAGGAATGGGTGCTTGTACACCAGCTTTCTGCTCTGCCTCCATCCTACAGTTGAGACATCGAACTTGTACTCTGGTGAACACGCAATACTCCATTCAAGTACGTCGGGGAGCTGAGTAGGCAACTCCTATCTTGGGAACAATGCAATGTCCTGTGAGGCCGACTCTTGGACAGCTTCTACCTTCGACCCTCTGACGTGAAGGGACCCGCCCGCCTCTCTGACGGTCCCGTTGAGATAGCTAACATTAGGGGTCTGCTTTATTTTGCTAGTTAGGGCATTTCCGCAGCTCCCGTCCGATGTGATGGGCTAGAGATGGGAATATATTGCTCTGTTGCTTCATGCCTGCCGCGCGTGTGGGTGAAGCTCCATCCGGTAGCTGGCTATCATCCGAAGGAGTTGGAAGGCTAGGATGGATGTACCGAGCAGTCATGGGCTAATTTGTGAGGTACTGTAGCACATCCTTGAGTTTCCAGTTGCTTCAACATGATCCATCCGTTCGCGATCCTTTTGGATACCCGTCTCGCTTGTGCTAGACATTACCAAGCCAGCGACCTCGAACAGTCTCCTTACAACTCCCAATCACCTTCCAATCGGCCGCATCAGAATCGGTCTTTCACATGGGATGATGACAGACACATCCTAGGGTCGGACGCTTTATACAGGGGGGAATAAGAAGACCTGGACACCTCGAGCGCCGATTGGGCGCTGAAGTGAGCTCGCCTGGGGTTCCGGAAGCCGGCACCTGGTTCACGTTGCTCACAGCACAGCCGGCTTGAGGGCGTGAGAGGCCGCCTGTGGTTGCCTGAGTGTCAATTCTATATCCCTCTCCACTGGAGAGACTTGAACAGATCGTGGTTTGGTCGGGATCAAGAGATTACCGATATCAAGAGCACATTCTATGAGCCTTGTTTGTTAGTATTGTCTCCTGCAGGGCAATCGACTGAGAAGCAGTGCCTCTGACATAGGTTAACGGCGAGAACGATCTGCGATGCACTGCACGCAAAATGCTAGGACATGGGTTTGAGAAGCCGTCAGCATACTCTGTTGTCACAATCTCCAGTGATGGATTTGGATTCCGGCTAAGGTAATACACGTCTGCTTGAATCATTTCACTCCATCCCTGGCCCCGGGCCATCCATTCGGTTCAATTGTTTTGCTCGCAGAAGAAAGAGCCTGCTGCATGGTGTCACAGTATACATTCAGTCAAAGCACCTTCCTTGAGCGCCATATATCGAGAATGACAGTTGCGTCGTCATCATCTCGAATAAGTATCTTGGTTTCGTAGTGTTACATTTTCTTGTCTTCATCATCGAGGCTCCCTCCCAAAGTGCTGGAGTCGGTACTCTCTTCCTTGGACAGAGTGGAGGCCTTTTCGATATCTTCGTCGGTAGGTCCGTGCAATCCCTCCTCAAAGACAGGCTCGGCATCAACGGTTTCGAACTTGGTCTTGAAATCACCTAGGACTTGGGTGCTGGAGTTGGATCGGCGACGAGTGTTGGTGAATTTGTAGTCGTAGTCGTGGACTTCATCGCCCTCGCGGCCCCTGCCAACTTGTCAGCACCTCTGGGTACAGCTGCGGTTTGTGAGGGACATTTATACCAGTTGCCCTTGCCACCACCTTGCTTCTTTACGCCCTTGGGATCAGCATCGACATGACCATGTTTGGCGAAGTAGCGAGGGAGGCGTTCTTCAGGGAGGGCAGAACCATCGGCGATGGCACTATGGTTGCGGTCATTTCCTTTGTTGGTTCGAGTCACTTCAGCCGAGGGTTAGTGAGAGCAACTGCGGTGCGGAAGACGAAGGAGAACCTACTAATGGAGTGAAGGACGAAGATTGATGGGATTGAGTCGGGTGAGAGGGTCGAAGCGATAGAAGGATGACTGTGGTGATGGATTGGTGCTGGTAGTGAGAATGAGAGTCAGTTATATGAAGTTGGAGATGAGGTTTGGGCAAAGGGGACGAGCCCGACACGCGACCCTGCGAGTGAAGTCAAAGAGAGAGAAGCTCGGACCACCCCATTGCATGTTGATCATTGATGGATTGAGGCATGGGTAGCACATTGAACTCACCACACAGTTCACTTCGCTTACGTTTAGGAGTGGATAGCAATACGAGTCGAGGACAGGGTGAAGCTTGGGAGAAGATAAAGAAGAAGATGAGAGAGGTTACGATTGACTTCTAAGCAGAAGGGGTGTCTGTCGTTTGGGGAGCAGTAAGTCAGGGTAGATGAAAGCCGGACCAGGGTGGAACCTTAGAAAGCTCTAGATGGTGAGTTTGTTGTGATTGGGGAGCAAGCTGGCAAAGAAAGGCGCAGAGAGGCCCGTTGCTCGCATGACCTCCCTGCTCTTTCTGGCGCCTTCTTTCCCCTCGCTCCAATCGCCAGGGCGCCTTCCCCGGATTCCTCATTCCTCGCCTTTCCCAATGGGCTCTTTTAGCGCGGGGTTTGGGCCTTTGCTCGCCTCCACTTGGTCCTGCTTAGTGTGCCGCCCACTGGCAGAAGCCCCCCATCCATGGCCTTTCATTTCAGAGGCCCAATGTCCAGGAGAACAAACAAGGCTGAATAGAAGCTCCCGCGGCAGTCTCCCGAGGGATTCCCAGCAGCGTACAACAATCTGAGGAATTTTCTCAAGATGGCTTGTGATGATTGGCGTCACCAGCATCAGTTCGAAGTGGATACAGGCATGACGAGGTACGAGAGAACACTGGAGCCTACGGGTCAACTGATGGCAGCCACAAAATGTCGCAAAATGGGACTCCCGTGGCGGTCAGCGTTTCCACATTGTGTTTCAGTCAGACGTCAACGCACTGAGGCAGTGGACTGGCCCCTGATGATGTACATGGCCAGGTCCCTGGGCACCCAACTGTCTCCTGCTGGAGTGGTGTGAGGGCGGAGTTTTCCGGGACATCGCTATCACGTGAGTGGGATGGCGGAAGGCTGCTTCGTGCAGCATCAGATCTTGCAGCAGATATCTCCTCCCAGATGCAAAAGGGTTTGGCAGCTTGAAACTTGCTTCAGGCACTCAGGTACCGAGCTTCATAGAACCTCCCACGTGGGTAGGGATAGATTTGGAGGGACTGCCACCCGGGAACCTATACTAGCACGGACCTGTTGTATTGGGGATGCTGCAGGGCCCTCGGGCTTAGCGTCATTACTGCCCCTCTAGCGCGAAGGCACGCCTCGATTTCTAATCCTGGTATTTTATCATTCTTTCTTTCTACCCTCCTCCACTGCTACACCCTCCCAAGTACCTGTCTTCCGCAGTTGTCGTCCATCTTGCTGCCATCATGTCGCCCTCCGTTCTCATGGACACCTCCGACGATTTCGTCATGCCCTCCTCCAAAGCCCCGCAGTCGTCGCATCGCACCCTCCTACTTTCGCCTCCGTCCCTTTCGTCGCACCAAGAAATCCTGACCGGCCTGATGGAAATGCACGACCGGGCCCATACCGACCTGCAGATGTTGGACAGGCTGTCTCTCGGCCTAGTGTCACTTCCTCAGTCCACTTATGACGTTATCACCATCCTCTCCGATGCAGATGGATCACGTCGCGAGAGTCAAAATCTAATCAGTCGGGACATGCTCGGCGTGCTGGTCAGAGCATTGAAGAGTGGCGGACATTTGCGTAGCCAGGATGAGACGTTTGGGATTGCGGATGGTCCAGAGAAGAACGAGACCATTCTCGCCGGTCTTTCTTTCCAGCCAGGAGTGGGGTTCGTTAAGCCAAACTACACCGCACAAGACTCGGTTCCGTTGAAGTTCGGGAGAAAGAAGACATCCCAGGCTGCTGGCGGCCTTAGCAACACAACGAACGGCGAATCAGTGTCACTGCCAGTTAATGGGAAGCGGAAGAGCACAGATGATGCTCTGCCTGCAGGTGTGGGATTTGATGACGGGATGGACGACTCAGACGACGAACTGATTGACGAAGACACGTTGCTGGATGACGAGGATTTGAAGAGGCCCATTAAGATTCGTGAGTGGATTGTAATCTTCAGCGGCGATCGCGCAATTAACAAGCCCAAAGCAACTGAATGCCAACCCAAGGCGAAGCGACGTCGAGCATGCAAAGACTGTACTTGCGGGCTTGCACAGAAATTGGAAGCCGAGGATAGAGCCAAACGAGAGAACGCGGACAAGGCTTTGAACACGATGAAGTTACAAGCAGACGATCTGGCCGAGGTCGACTTTACTGTGCAGGGAAAAGTTGGAAGTTGTGGTAACTGCAGTCTTGGAGGTGAGCACCCCTTCATTGTCCCTGACCAAGCTCTCTTCTCATATGCTTATTCCCGTCAGATGCCTTCCGATGCGACGGCTGCCCGTATATTGGGCTCCCTGCCTTCAAACCTGGCGAGGAGGTTCGATTGCTGAACGATGAGATCCAATTGTAGAAGTGCATGCAATGCATTTCGGAGCATGGCGACGGCGTTCCGGTCGGCGGCACCTTTTAGACTACTACCATGTACCACAGATGTAAAGCCATTCATGTAGGGGACGAGTGGACTATCTTCATCACAGCCTGGATATAAATGCCTGCTTCCTGCTTCACAAATAAATGTTCTGTCGAGACTCGTGTCTGCTCCCGCGGGCCAAATTCCGAGGCTTGTCGAGGGGCTGGACGAATGATGTTCGTGGCGATTTCCCGATTGTCAGCCCTTCTCCACAAAGTTTGCCGGCAGCTTGACGCCGCCGCCTCGCATTCATTTTTATTTTATTTTACTTTGGCTGACCGACTTGCCCACCTGCACTTTTTGCCCCATAGAACTCGCCTCGTGTCTCTACCGACGACGTGGTCGGCTTCGCTTTGACGACTTTGTCTCGATTCATCGCCTTTATCCCTCGCTGTCCCCCCCTTTATTCAGCCACAACTGGTCCGTCGCACTGTCATTGACCATCACATCAGCTGCCGCACATCGCCATGTCCTTCTCCTCCCTCGTTCAAGATATCGCCTTCCGCGACTCAACGTCGCAAACCAATCCACGGACAAGTGCCAGCAACATCAGTATCAATGACACCCAGTCTACCATCTCCCGGCCATCACAGGCTCGGTCATACACCTCCACCGCAGCTACCAGCGTGAGCATCGCGGGCGACATCTCCAGTCAACTGCACGCCGGGTACAGTCATCCCCTTTCAAGAGCATGGCAAGCTGAGAGACAGTTGACAAAGGTTCGTGTTTACCGCTCTACTTAGAAGCATCAGCTTTACACTAACACAACTCGAAGTCAATGCTTATCTACCCTCTCTTCATAACCGACAACCCCGACGAAGTGACTCCTATTCCTTCTCTGCCGAACCAAAATCGCCTGGGTCTCAACAAACTCGTCCCTTTCCTCGCGCCCCTTGTGCAAAAAGGCCTGCGCTCCGTTATTCTCTTTGGCGTTCCTCTCGCTCCCGATGCAAAAGATGCTCTAGGCACAGCAGCCGACGATCCCGAAGGCCCCGTCATAAAAGGCATCCAACTCATTCGTCGGCACTTCCCTCAGTTGTTTGTGGTTGCGGATGTTTGTCTCTGTGAGTACACTTCTCACGGCCACTGCGGGATTCTCCGAGATGACGGGTCCTTGAACAACGCCATGAGCGTTGAACGCATTTCCGACGTCGCAATGGCGTATGCTCATGCTGGCGCTCACTGCGTGGCGCCTTCCGACATGAACGACGGACGCATTCGCGCCATCAAACTCAAGCTCATTGAGTCCGGACTGTCGCATCAAGTCAACCTGATGAGTTATGCAGCCAAGTTCTCCGGTTGCTTGTATGGGCCATTCAGAGACGCAGCCGGATCGTGCCCGAGCTTCGGCGATCGGAAATGCTACCAGCTGCCTCCTGGCGGCCGAGGACTTGCTCGTCGCGCTATCGCACGAGATATCCAGGAAGGTGCCGATATTATCATGGTGAAACCCGCCTCGTCCTTCCTGGATATTATCTCAGACGCCAAGGAAATCGCAAAGGATATGCCCATTGCTGCGTACCAGGTGAGTGGAGAGTATGCCATGATCCATGCCGGGGCCAAGGCTGGCGTGTTTGATCTGAAGACCATGGCCTTCGAAAGCACCGAAGGCATTTTACGAGCCGGGGCAGGGATCGTGGTGAGCTATTTCACACCGGAGTTTTTGGATTGGTTAAGCTCCTAAATCTGTACGAGAAGATGAAGAGAGATGCATGGAGCAGGGGGAAGAGATACGTTGCCTGGGACTTACGGGTGATATTCTGTGATGTGATCATGAGGAAATCGCCCTCATGAGTGGGAATGATTTGAAGAGATGAAGCAAATGCATGATTTATGAGATTGTGCCTCCCCAACAACCGGCCTGGCGGTGCGTATTCGAAGCTGACATCGACACTAAGTTACACGTTACACCAAGGCAGAGGGGAGATGAGGAGAGCAGGAGAAAATAGAAAGAGGCGGAAAAGCAAAAAGACAAGGAGAAAAGTCAAACCAATGAATCTCAAACAAGTGTTTCCTAGAGCGAATACCATCATTGCATCTTCCAGCGTCCTGCTCACGTACTCGTATTTGCCTCAGCGTGGTACAGAGACCTGGGTAGCACAAAGATACAAACATACATGTACACCCGTGGTGCTAGTATGAGATTTATGTGCACGGGTATCTCGCCTCCGCTCACCACAGAAATATATACACAACTCAACCTATCCGTCTGGGCTGTGCTTCACTCCCTTTGCCTTGTGGGAGCTGTTTTCGTGTCCATCTCTCCCCATCATCTCGTTCACGTCACATCTTGACGAGTCAGGTGGGCGTTGGTCCGATTTAGGGGGATATCAGCTCTTTCTTTTTTCCCTGTTTGTTCCCTTTCCGTGATGATCTGGCTATAGAACTTTTCGGAGAGAAAGAAGAGGAGGGAGAGGGCGCGGGAACTTGCATGGCGCGGCTACCCAGTCAAGTCAGTCAGTCAATCAGTCCAATCACCCAAATCTTTCATCAGTCGAGCAATCAATCAATCGATCATTCGGCCAATCAGACAGGTTAGACAGGTAAGTACCTAGCCAAGGGAAGGGAGTGGTAGTGGTATGTCTGCTTGCCCGCCATGCCCTTTTGCTTGGTCGCGGGTCTCCCTGCCATGGTCTTGGTTGTGGTCGTGGTTGCACACAGGACGAGCTCCAAGAATTCATCCATTCGCTGTTCCTGATTGAGAAGATGACACAGGGAAGGGAAAGGACAGGAGACGAGACAACGGAGAGACAGGAGGATTAGAGGGGAGGACAAGGAGGAAACAGGCCGTTCTCGACGCGAGATATAAAAGATTGAGCTTCCTCTCATTCCCCCCTGTCCCTGTTCTTGCCCTTCTTCATCTGCCCCGTCTTGGCCGACTCTGCGCTTCCCATGCTAAGTCTGCTCAGTCTTCTGTACCCTCAGCCTCCATTGCTTCCCTCTCTCGTTCCATTCTGACATCGTCTCTGAACCTGAACGAGAAGAAAGAAAAGAACAATTGAGCTAAAGTAACAATGAAACTCTCTTCCACCCTCTACGCCGGTCTCGCCCTAGCGGCCACCGCTTCGGCATACAGCATCGACCTCTGGAGCAAGTACGATTACCAGGGAGACCAGGCCAAATTTGTAACATCCCCGTCCCCTTGGCTTTCGTTGTTGGTCCGGTGATCAACAATCCGCACTCACCAAAACATGTACTGATAGTAAAGGACAGACAACCGAGTAAATCTTACCTCTGCTTCTTATGTTGACTGCGCGAGCAAGCGTGAAGGAAGACAAGAAGCTAACCATTACGTGGCGATGACACAGTGGCATCCACAAAGTCACCTGGTCCGGCGGTGCAGGCTCATGGATCTGGAAATCTGGCTTTAATGATGGGTGCTGCGTGGTGTTTTGTCGGGGAAGCACGGTAAGAAGTCCCTCTATCCTATTCCCTCTTGAGCATCTCGTCTTCCCCCTCTGCCTGTATCGTAGCTGACTCGTCTCTTTGTGGAGTAGAATGTTGGGAAGTATTGTCAGTCTGCCGCGAAAACAGAGTCTTCCGCCGGAGTGAACAAAGTAGTCACAGGGTGCGGAAGCACGACCTTGAATTGTTAGAAGGGTGTTTTCGCTCACAGGGCGTTTCGCGGTAAAGGACTGGGATGATGTTCTCTCGCTGATTACCGATCCATTTTAACCAGAGAGGAAACAGAGGTACTCTAGCATCTTGTCAAACGAGAGTCGTTCTTTTTCATCGTACTGTGGTACCAATATCTTACAGATAACTCAACTCTGGTTAAGTTCTCTTTCTGTGGTCTTTTATCCGCTTCAAACCTCACCTGGGTGCTGGTCACATTCGCGCAGCCGGGGTGGCCGTATTGATTTCTTGCTGGAGGTCGCGGTCAAGGCTGATGTTTGCATAGAGGATTAGGCGTTTCGGCGCATTGTTGGGCTAAGTCGCAGGACCAATGTACCGAGCGTGTGTTCAAAGCATCGCCATCTAGGCGTGATCTCGATCCGTCTTCAGGGTATGTATGAATTCATTGTTGATAGCATTTTGCCGTGCCGAACGCATTCGGAAGACATGAGCAAGCTATGCTGATCTGGCTCGGATTCGCCGGTGCCAAGTCAACGACGTTCAGTAAACGAATGGTTGTTGAATATTGACTGGAATTTTCACATCGTGTGACCCTGCAGATCCCTGACAAATCCCGGGGATGGATCTATCGATCGCAACAGAAGATGAAGGGGTGGTTACGACTTGTGGCCAAAACATTCAGGATGGAGAAAGAGCTGGCAAGTCGAAGGCAAACGACTAGCCGCAGAAGGAAAATTGGTTACAGCAGCTCTTTGACGTCCAGGCAGAAAAGATTGGTATGGGTTCCGAGTATTGACTCCTTCGAAGGCATCTGGGTAGGACCGGATGACTATGGTAAACTGGGGATTGTGACCATAGGAGCCTACAGTCACGCCGTCAACATTCGGCGTCGATGATCATAGAGAGGTTGCAGCGGCACCGACCAAATTGATGTTGATACAGACGCACCAAGGTCCGAGGAGGCCAATACTGTGCAGTCTCGTGGAGTAGAATGGTCGAAAGGGGGATGAGGAGGCGAGAAAGCGGGAGGCTCGAGCGAGGCCACGACCGGTTAATGCAGGGAACAGAGAGAAAGAATGGATTGTCAGGGATAGTTTGATGGCCACAGATGGCTTGACCGCAAGAGTTTAGGGTGCAAAGGTGAAGAGATGGTAGCGAAACCAGTCAAAAGGACGGTCAGTCTCCTGCGCGTCAGACGCATGCACAAATCAGCCTTAGGCCGTCCGCAGTCTATTCTCTGCCACCACCGCTGCTCCCTTCTCCCCTCTCCCGCTCACATCCACTCACCCTCTGCTCGCTCTGCCGCCTTTCCCAGTCTCTTGTCAGAGTTCTAGAACCTCTCACCTGTTCAGGCATCTCATTCTCTAACATGGCATGCATAAGTCCGCCCAACAGCCGCCCCCTTTCCCACGTCTCCTAGCCCCCTCGACAGTCCACCTATCAATCATTGAAGTCCCTCCTGCGACCACGGAATACTTCGCCACATACGATAGTTCCGGGAGTGAATACATCCATCCAGAGCACCTGCAGGCTCCCTACTGCTATTTGACCGGACCGTTTCCCTTTTGGCTCGGCTTGCATTTGCTGCAGCGTGATTGTTTCCCGAGGAAGACATCTCCGCGAGCCCCCATGGGATCCATCACACGTACACCCTGCATAGGGCTGAGCACCCTGCAGCAACCCGACACCGACTTCACCCAGTCGTCGATGCCTCAGATGGATTGTATCTATGAATTCTCTGGCACACACTTGACCTCGGCTCGCATTCATCGACAATTGGACGCTCGAACCGCGGCGGAGTTCGATTGGCTTTGGTCGAGTTGCAAATGATCAACGTCGGACGGGATGGCAATGCCGGCTTGGGGCCTGCACATCATCATGATTGTATTTTTGTGTCGGCGCTCGACGATCCCCTCGTATTCACTGACCCGTGTTCTAAATTCACGCATACCGACCGCTCTTTGGCAGATCTGTGAAGGCTCCCATACCCGCCCAACGAACGCGTATCGTGGCGCCAAAAGACGGCGTTCCTTGCGAGGTACCCTTGACTACATCCCTCAGCCTTATGCTCAGGCACATTGCATTCGCCATTTCTGCCGAAGTCGCTCCTTGGCTCAGCGTTGGCATTGCGCATCCCGTATTGGCATCAACAATGGTAAGCCCAGGCATCAGAGGGATCATTTCCAACCTCTACTCCGTGATAACACCTTACCTTTTCGCTTACGTCCGCGAGGACCCGAGCATATCTTGAAAGACCTCACCCAGGCAACAGGCAACAGATGCGGTTGCAGATTATGTAGGCAACGCAGATCGCTCCTCGATTTGTCCTGCCTTAGGCCGAGCAGCTGAAAAGAAGGTTCCGCTTCTTATCCCCGGTGCGGTGATATTGTAGAGTCATCCTGTCACAATGATCGACTTCCAGAACGTCGTCGCCGTGCTGCGCGGGAGGGAAATACTACCTTTTGCAACCAAGACGATTGGCCGAGGGAACCTCATATGCTAAGTCCTACGCCAGAGTCCGGAGTCATCGGTTCTTTCACACTTTATTTACTCATCGTGGTATCGTTCGCGAGACCGCGCCTCATCAGGGATCTCGAACTCTACCAGAAGCCTCCTAAAGCAGCGGTGGGTGGATAGCATGGGTCTGTCTCCTGAGTTTGGATGGGCACGTTAAGCCCTACGGCCCTAGCCAAAGTGGACTTGCACACTGTTCTCCACCCGATGGCCTACGTCTGCTACTGGAACGTCGTCCTAGGTATGCGCCGAGCACATCCTATCAGACCGGGAGGTGAGCAGTCAAGTATACATGGGAGAAAACCCGGCTGTGTCAGCAGCTGCCCACGAGGAGCGCTACCTTACGACTCAGTCCCAATCATTCGTGACATGGGTCGTGGCTCTCTTCCACGTTCCGATCTTGACCCCGGAGTCGGATTCCCTTACGGCCCTCTCTACAGTACGCCCAAGGGTTCCACGTTGGTTCTCGGCCCCCCCTTCTGAGGTAGAAAGGCACAGCCCAGATGTGGACAAGCCTCATTATCTCTCTGCTGCTGAGCCACGGTCGTGCCTCTCTCAGATGAAATGAAATGGACTGCTCCAGTTCCCTGACTTGCACTTTACAAGTTACAACATACGAGGGACGATCAATGACAGGACCTCGCCGACCTTCGCTGGTGTTAGGTCCCACTCAATCCCATTCAGCTTCAGCACCGCTGTCTCCACATGGTATCGCGGTGGCACCATATCAACAAACCATCTGCCCAAGACAATCTGTCAGGAACACAAGGCCCCAACATAGCCGCGCAGTGGTGAGTCCATTCAAGCACGATACAAGAGAAGAGAAATAAGAAAAGAAATAAAAGGAGAATAGCATGAGGCTGAAGGTCGTTCTCGTCTCTTAGAACCTCCAGAAGCCACTGCCGTCCCTTGTTCCCCTGGTTTTCCCGCCCTGTACCTTGCCCTTATGCTACCGAGCACATGGGTAGAAGGGTAATTTGTCCCTTACCGACCCCAATGCCCGGGAGACTATCTTATTTCCTGTCCAGCCAACTACCTCTGGGCCACGGCACTTATATTATTGCGCACCGGATCATTCCTATCACTTTTAATTTGCTTTCTAGAAAGAATTGCATACTCACTCTCACAGTGCCATGGGCTAGCTATTGCTTTGTCCATTTCAGCCTCAACCGATCTCAGGACAGCATTTACTCAATTTGGAGATCAGCTCAATCATCAAATGCTCGAGGATCTATCCGCAACTGTTATGAGCAGTAACCCGAATGTGGGCAATGCCAATGAACCTCCACCACCTCCTTCTCGCGCGATGCCGGGCGACAAAACGCGAACAAAGAAATGGGCACCAAAGACGTTCAATGGATGTCTGACCTGCAAGTATGTCTTCAAATACTCTATAACGTCCTTCTCATCACTGATGAATTGATGAAGGCGAAGAAGGATCAAGTGTGACGAGGGCAAACCTTCGTGCCAAAGGTCGGTGAAGGTCCGAGAGTTTCATCAATTCCATCACTGATATGATCTAGATGCATCAAATCAAATCTCAAGTGTAGTGGATATGCCGCACCTAAGATCAGGTTGTTTGATCCTTCCGCCTCCTCGACAGCTTCAAGCTCAACACTGCCACCAGCGACCAGCCCAGCCCTTCCATCTGGAATAGACTCAGCGGCACCCGACGACAGCCAACTCCCTTCCAGCCCGTCAGCTCATCCCCATCCCCAAGGACTCGCTCTTTTCCCCAGATTCGGCAACCAGGAAGAATCCCAGTCTTTCCAGTTCTTCCTCGAAAAGACCTCTGGCTTGATATCGGTATATTCGCAGCCATATCTGTGGACGGTGCTTCTGCCCCAAGCCACATGGCACCAACCCTCGATCAAACACTCTCTCATTGCACTTGCCTCGTTACACCGATACCTCACCACGGTCGGCCCTACCTCACAACGAGCAAACCACAACTTTGTGTTCCACTACAATAGTGCCATACGCGCCCTGCTGGCGGACAGGCCGTCTGTTGATGTTGTGCTAGCAGCATGTGTCGTCTTCTGGGCGCTTGAGAATTTCAATGGTGGTGGTCAGGTGGCCATTGACCACATGCAGGCTGCGATCAAGATCTTGGGGGAGTGGAAAAGCAAACATCGACCAAATGATCCCGCCAAAGACTTCATAACCAAATACATCGAACCAACAATCCGAGATGGGGTGAAGCTCGCCTCGAAATGTAGCGTCGAGGAACTGGCGAGTCAGATGAGTGCACTTTCCCTGACAACGCGCGACGTGAGGATCATGAGCATAGATTACCCTGCGTTCAACAGCCTGGAGGATGCAGGTGACTATCTGGGCGATTGCATCACCAAGATTCTCGCTCTCAAAAATCAGACAGCGGCACCTCTCAGTCCAAGTCCCGACCTCATCGAACAGGTAGAAGCGCTCGACGCCCGACTCTACAAATGGATGAACCTGTTCCAAAATCTCACGGCCACAGGGCCCGTATACATCCGGCGCATGCTCGTCGTACACAACGTCGCGGCAAACATTCTGCTGGACCAGGTCAAGGCACGAACACAATATGCCAATACGAGCGAGGAAGAGCAGGAGGAAGAACCGCGTCATTGTCGATTCAATTTCACGGTCATTGAAGTTGAGGATATATTAAGGTACGATCCGCTGGCTACAGTGGAGTCACGCAGGAAGAAACCGCCCAGTCTGGGATTCATCCCTCCTGTGTTTTTGGCAGCGACCGCGGCGCCGAGACTAGAGACCAGGACAAGGGCGATCAACGTGCTGAGGACGTTGAATGTGACCGAGGGGCCGTGGAACACAGAGCATGCGGCGCAGGTTGCCGAAGGGATACTGGAGATTGCACAGGACTGTGCTATTTCTCCCTCAGCAGTCGAATTGCGGGATATCCACATCGAGTTTGACGAAGACCGCAAGGTGTTGAGCATGAGATGGGAACCGGAGGACCCGACGGCGCTGAACGTGAGCACGAGCAAACAGATTGATCCTGGAAATATGAACTGGGGTGACTCCGTAAGTCGACACATCCATACTCCCTTTGATACCCTTTGGATTAACAAGTTGGTTGCAGCAGGATGTGCCCGAGTTGATCAGGAGATTCGGCTACCAGTTCCGTCCTTCCTCAGCGTTGATGCTGTCTTCATGAATCAACACAGCCCAGCAGACCTCTTTGCGGTATGCGCGCATGTTCACTCGCTCAGATCAGACCAGTGCGGCTCTGACCATAGTGCCGATATCATATCGGCGTTCTTTGGAACACTACTACACAACCATCCTTGACGGATAGGTTAATGGGAAGACATTCCATTTGATTGGATGAAACGACCACCACGACGGTAACGCCCATGGGTATTGACATCCGTCGGGTGGCATCACTTCTTCCCAGTGGGATCTCTTTGACGTACTTCAGTTTTGCTCGTCACTTTGAAGGTTGACTCTCGTTTTCGGGTGGGCGGAGTTTTGCAATTTATTCGGAACAAGGCTGCGTTCCTTCAGCGCGAAGGACGAGTAGGTCCGCTTCGGCTTATGACAAGAGGTGCCGCAGCAGCAGCAGCAGCGGCAGCAACACGATTTCAGAATGAATACTGGACACAGAATGAATGAAATGATCGATGGAGCCAGATCGGATTGGACAGGACGGTACGAGCAACAGAACAACGAGCAACAAGCAATAGGGAACAAACTCAGCAAGCACACGACTCAGGATTTTGGGGGACGTTATGGCGGCAGTTCTCTGCATGTATGATTTTGGCATGTTACAAACATTATACAGGGGGCTTCTGTGTTCATTTCCTCGGTTTCATCAAGTGATGCTGTTCCGCGCGGGTTTCACGTGCCCTTCTTTTCAAGATGGTTTTGACAACTTTCGTAGTCTGCTTCCTTTCTGCCCCTTTCGCAGAGTCGTTTCATTTCGCCTCACCTGGGTGGCGCCGGTACGCCGGTACCCGTGCCTGGAGTCGTACTTGGATGACTCTGGCTCTGACCCTGACTCTGACTGCCCTGCCTGGACGACTTGACCGCACTCCCCACGGCAGCCTCCTGCTCCAAGAAATGCTGCCACAGCTCCGCCAGGGTCTCTCTTGAGTGCGGACTGGTCGCGCTCTCGGGCCCGCCGCCGCCGCCGCCGAAATAGTCGGGATGGTGGTTGAGGGCCGGTGTGCTCGGCGTCCTGTGCATGAGGGGAGAACCGGGCGCCGCCGCGGCGGACAGGGAGCCCAAGCCGCGCAGGGAATTGAAGCTCGAGGTGCTCGTGGCGGTGACGCCTGTGGTTCCGGGCCTGGCCAGGCCGGCCTGTTCGCGCTGCTCGTCGGTCCAGCCCAGCAGGGCGGCGATGAGCTGGAGGATCTGGAACTTCTTGGGGTCCGAGCGGTCCAGGGCCAGGAAATGCAGGAAATGGTTCGTCACTATCTGTCTGCAACAAGGCGGCGCCCCAAAAAGGGAGTCCCTAGTCAGCCTCAATGAAAGTAGTGAGAAGAAAAAAAGCAAAACCCGTCAATGGGATTGGTTCTGCACCGCGAAACTTGCTAAAGGGGAAAAGGGGGCGAGAGGGTATCAGGGGGGGTGGCCCAAGCAGCGGAAAGGGAGAAAACAAAAAAGACCTCAGCCTCGTCAGGTGGCGAATGATCGTCGCCTAGGGGGGCGTTGGCGTTCTAAATTTATAGTTCTTACACCGCATGATCAATGAGGCAGGGGTTTCGAAATGCGGAGTAACCATTCATCCACGCCTCCGGAAAATGGGAGGCCCCAGGGAAATGGGATCGGAGACATATGCAGGAAACGGCGGGTCGGAGACATTGTGCAAGATAGCGAAACGAAGGATGACAAAAACTCACCTGTCCACATTGTCCTCGGGTTTGCCCTTCTTGAGAAACCTCAGCGCCTTAGTAAGATGGTCGTTCAGAATCACTGCTTCGTGCCTCAGCTTGCCGATCAGGAGGTTCTTCTCTTTGACCTCCCTCTCGAACGGCAGGGCTCGCTCGAGGTCTTTCTTGGCCTGTTCCAGTTCCGCGACGGTCGAGTCGTGGACCACCTGGAGATCTGACAACTGCTTCCGCAGGGCTTCTTGTTCGCTCTGGGACGTTTCGACCAGTTCTTTCAGTTCCTGTTTTCGCACCGTTTGGATCTCCTGGAGGGCCTTTTGAAGGCCGTCGACCGCCGCGGAATGGGTGTCCCTATCGCTCACGGCCCTCTCGTACGCTTCCTTTAGCGAGCCGAGTTGCTCCTCCAAATCGGCGTTGCGGTCTGCCAGGTCCTTGCGCATGGTGCGTTCTTCCATGGCGAGAACTTCCCAGTCGTGCATCGCCTGTTTGGCGTTCTCGAATTCGTCTCGCATGTAGGCTTCAGACTCGACGAGTTCTTCTTTCTCCTTGAGCCAGTTTTGCTGGGACAGCGTCAGGCGGTTGCGGAGAGTGGACAGTTCTTTGGATTGTTCGGCTTGTTTCTGCGAGAGGTCGGCGTTTCGCGTGGTGAGTTCTTCAACTTCCGCAGAGCGGGCGGTGTAGCGCTCTTGCAGGTCAGATCTTTGTTCTTCGAGCTCCTCGATGCGTGTCCGTGCTTGTGCTAGATCTTCCTGTAGGGAACCTGTTAGTCTGACTGGTTCGTTCTGCCTTTGTCGGGCTGAGAATCACGTACTGCATCGGCTTTTAATCTCTCCCCCAGCTGCGATCGTATAGTATTCACCTTCCCCAGCAAGGATTGGTATTGTTCTTCAGCATTTTCCTTTTCGGCCTGGGTCTCCGCCAGCTCTGTCTGGGCCGCTTCGATTTCCGTGGCATGCTTGGCCTGTAGTTCTTCCAGGGACTTGCGCAGCTCGGTGACTTCGAGACGCAGGGCATCACGGTCTTTCACAAGAGCATCAAAGCGGGCAGCTGCATCGTTGGTCTCGTCAATCGACAGATCTTGGACCCCGTTCGCAACGGTCACTTTCCCCGGCGTTTCGTCCAGTGACTCCTCCTGGACGGGAGTGGCAGCTGTATGTTCTGCTTCTTGCTCGTCGTTTTCTGCGTCATCCTCCTCGTCTGGTCCATTCTGTGTGTCGCTGGGATCGACGGGTGTCGTGGGAGCGTCTGTCGCGGCGGCTTGCGCGTTGCCCTTCTTCTTGGACTTTTTCTTCTTCTTGGATTTCTGGTCTACCACAGTAAGCACGGGCGCACCTGCACTGATTACCACATGTATACGTACCCCCTTGAGGCATCGAAGACATGTTTGCGGAAGACATGTTTTATCCAGTGATCTCGCGGCGCCCAAGACATCGGGGTGCTGGATCTCGAAAGGTGTCAATTGTTGCTTGGCGTAATGCGCGGCGCTGCTGCACGCCATATGCTGGTATCGGGCCGGCCCATTCGCTGGCCATTGCACCGAAGCAAAACATCAACTGCCCGTCGAGCACGCAGCGAAGCTACAGGCAACGCGATACGACAGTCAAAGAAGTCAAGAGGGAAGTCATGCATTCGCTGAGTATAGATCCATACACGCCCATCGTAACCCTTCAATGCAACACGAGGATGTTATTTCAGTGCTTCCCCAAACAACCCTCTCATCCCCTTGAGGAGAGTCCCGATCTCCCTCGTCGCATTCAACCGGTCCACCACCTTTGCGACTTTTGTGGCCTCTAACCTGGGCTTCGTGTATACCACGTCGTATCTCCCGCGTCCAGTATCCGGCACCAGCAATTCAAACAGGCCTTCCCTTTCCTCGCCGCCGTTGCCACTGCCTTTCGAGGGCGGAAACACGAAAACGATCCTGACCTTATTCTCGTCCCCGCTGCCTTCGATTCGACAGCCCAGATACGTCTCCCAGAAACTTAGTTCCGGTCCGTTCAGTCGGCTCTGTCCCTCCATCTTGGCTGCGTATTCCCTTTGGGCTTGTAACTTGGCGTCAATCTGTCGCTGCGTTTGCGCAATTGCAGATTTGAGACGGTCTCGCTGGGCAGATTGAGCTGCCTGGTGAGACTCCAGCTTGGAGATCTGCGCGTTCATCTCATTCTTCTCTGCCTGTTCGCGGGCGAGGACTTGGCTATGTGTTGATAGGGTGGATTGTAGGGTTATGATCTGGGTGCTTGATGACCGCTGCTCCTCTACAGAGTCCATTAGTTGTGCCCTTCCGCGAGTCGTCTGTGGAATGTTTGTTGGGCTTACCGTTCAACTCCCCAAGACGCGCCCGAAACTCATTCCTCTCTTCTAGCACCCTCTTTCTTCCTCGTTCGATAAATGCGTCGAACTTGATTGTGAAGTCGGCCATTCGCTTTCGCAGATCCTCGAGGTTGAAGTCAACTGCAGGCAGTTGTGTGAGAGGGTTGTCCGCGTACGACATGGGCGTTGCCATTTGCGATTGCGACGCGCGGAAGGAAGATGTGCTGGTCGCAAATGCCGACGACGGGATAGCGGTAGTCATTGTCGCGAATGTGTCCGTGTTTCTGTTTCGGCGAAAGGATCGTGGGAATATGTCGCCAGTTGCATCAAGTTCAAGTGTTGGTCGCAGTCGCAGTCACAAGTGAGAGTGGTGGGTGTGCAGGGCACAACCCCAGTCGACCGGGCAACCACCGCCGAGGCGGCTTGGCTGCGCGATACCCAACATCCACACATGTACAGTAATATGCTGAGATAGTTACAGTCCTTTCAGAGACTCAACATCAATGGGTATCAATACAATTTGGTATCTCTTCGCATGCTAGAACGACAATTCTCATACCCTACACAGTATCTTTCATTGGATCGAGTTGTCCCTTATCTCCGAGGCGAGCTCCTCCCGTCCCTCGCTGTTCTCACTGCTCGCATCTCCGCCCATTAACTGAGCAAGCATGGCTTCCATTCTTTCCAACGCGTCTTCTATTTTGTGCAGTCTCGCCGTCGCTTCCAGGATCCGGTCGTCTCGGTCGCCGTCCAGGTCGACCAGTGAATCCATTCTCTGACGCCTCTTTGGCTTTCGGTACCCGGGCGGGTGTTGTGCCTCGTCCCCAGTCTCATCACTCGAATCATGAAACTGGGTTTTCAACTTCTGGTCCACTTGAGACTCTCTTCTTCCGCTCTTCGCGGGCTGCGGATTGACCGACGCTCTTCGGTTCGAATCAGCGGTCTGGCTCGCTCTCCTTTCCTCTGACAAGTGCGTGAATTGGTTCTGCAGCTTGGTGTTGGATAGGATCCCCATATCGTCGCTGTGATCCAGATTGTCTTCTTCGGCGATCTTGTCCAGTACTGACTGTGGCGGGTCGATGTCGAACACCGCGTGGATATCTCCATGTACACTAAACCGTGAGAGAGCCCAGTATTGTGCAGGTGTTGCTCTGGGCCCGCCAGGATTCTTCCAGTCAATTTTCTTGCTGCTTGAAATCTTCCGCTTGTCCGACAGCCATAGTGTCCTCCTCTCGTACCATGCAACAATCAACAGCATTGGTAGGTTGATGGTCCTGACCGCTGCGACGTTGACTTTGTGAAACATTCTGTCTGAGAGTATCCACTTTAGAGGAAGCATGAGGATAAGCGCGAGGATGTTAAAGGGCGGCATATACGCGAAGATTGCATCTGATTTGACCCCTTCGAAAGTGAGGACCGCGCGTCGAAATTGGATTTCTTGGACAGCGTTGCTGACGATGCCGCTGAATGTGTTCGTCAACATCGAGACGAGGACCGTCAGGAACAACGTGTTGCCCAGGAAAGCGAACAAAACCATCAAGAGAGGTCCGAGAAGCCAGTGGAAGTCTGGAGATTGATCAATACCGGTCCCGTCCAGACCGAACCATATCCAAATCATCCATTCCCCGATTGTCACAGCCTGATGAGCGCCAGCGTGCAACCACTTGAGACTCAAGAGGAAACCCGCAAAACACCACACGGCTAGAGCAGTCAATGTCAAAAAATCAGACATCATCGCTCTCAATGAGAGAAACAGCATGTTCTCCGACATGACGTTGAACGCCAGCCTCGGAATGAGAACTGGTGCGCCACAACTGAGGATGTCAAGGGCAGTCCGGGCGAGAAGGATGGACTCTTCCTCGTCGACAATTGAGAAGGCGTAGATTCGCAAGACCAGGTATATGATGAAGATTGTCGAGAACATGACATCGAGGAACGACCATAGGTTTTGGGTATACACGCCCCAACCATGTTCAAGTATAGACGCAAATTGGTCGAGTACCTAGCAGCATCTGTTTGTCAGTTGCCGGACCCCTTTTGTCGTGTTGGAAAAACGTACCCAACCAGCGCCATACACGTCAAATACCAGCTCGAGAATCTCATAGGTGGTATTCATTCGGCTCTCCCTCCCGGCCATAACTGCGACGTACAGGGCCAGTAGGATGACAAACTGACACACCTCGATCAAGTTCCTCGTCCGCGGCACAATCAATCTGTACTGGTTTAACAACGGGGCTCTTCGGGGGTCGTACAGGGAAATTGGCCGCTTCTTCCAGTGGTCCGGGATGATGTCAATGAAGCTGCTGGGTGTATACACGACCTTGCCGCGGTAGATGGCGTCGACGACCTTTTGACACGCGCTGCTCGCCAGGAACGACTTGCTGGCACTGACAATGGCGACTTCCAAGGCAGTCAGTTTCCTCTCCACCTTGCCCGACTTGGATCTGCGCTGGGCGGCCCAGTAATGCATCGCGTGCTGACTCTGCTTGGTCACCTCGTCCGGAGCACCTTGGAAGGGTTCGAAGCCCGCAACGAGAATGTTTGCCAACTTGAGTAGCCCCCTAGGCCCCGGATTGTGTTCATTGTACCGCCGGAGGATCTTCTCCGCGACGAGCTCGCATAGAAGTGCGCGCGTGAGGTTGACCGTTTGGTGGTGTGTCGCGTACGATTGTTCGCGGATGAATTGCATCCGGTTGACGAGGAGGCAGTACACTGGAGAAAGAGTGGTCGTCAGCATTGACAGCACCGTGACATTTCAAGGGGGTTATTGGAGCGCGCCACACCGATTGATAAGTCGTTGGTCTCGTAGAGGGAATCGACCAGGGGCCGCACAACCGAGATGTTCATTCGCGGAGCTTTGAGCTGGTCGAGGGAATAGGGGTCATCTGGCCTAGATGTGAGTACATGGTGACTATCGTAGTATTGTATCCGTGCTCGAGGTCTCTCGGCCCAAACTTACCGATACTCGTGATGATATCCCTCCGTATGCTGTACTCACACCACACGTCAGAACGCATATCCCCATAAAGTAAAATAAAATGTGCTCATCGTCACCCCTTAACTTCTGCCTCCCATGCCTCATCCTCTTCCGCATAGATTCCTCAGACCAACCCAACTCCTTCAAATGCTCATAAATGCTCCCGATCCAGCAATCCCCTTTCCTTCACCAAGCATGGACCACAAACACATAGCTTGATATAGATAGATACCGCGATCCTCCCGGCAGCACATCTACATAGGTACCAAGGAACCGAGCGCCCACTCACCGATGAATATTCTCATAGACGTTACAGTGCGCGTTGCCGAACGGGTCGGCCTCGGCGGGCGGACGCCCGCCCAGCCGGTCCTGCTCGAGGCTCGTCCAGGTGCAGTGCGGCGGGTACAGGCCGTCGCTGTCGGCGAAGTCCTCCTCGTCGTGCTGCGTCGCCAGCAGCGCCTCGGTCTCGCTCCGCTGCCTGTTGAGCCGGAATTGGTTCGAGAAGCCACCCGGCCCGGCGGCTTTCCTGCCTCGTCGCGACGAAGAGGAAGATGTTGAGGATTTGGTTTTGGATGGTGCTGGGCGCGGCGCCGCTGCTCGGCCGTTTTTCTTGTTGTTGTCGGTGGTGGTGGTGCCAGTGCCGCGGGCGGCCTTGGTCGTTGGGCTCGGTGGGGAGGACGGCATGGTGTTTTGGCGTGTGGATGGTCGATATGGAATGCACCTGTATACCTTATGTCCTTGGAGAGAGAGCGAGAACGATGTATATGGAGTCTGTAGTGGAGGAAATGGATATAGAACGGCGCGGCGCGGCGCGAATCCTGGGGATCGAAGGCAAAAAGTAAAGGGGAAACGGTGCAACGGGTGAAGCCAATCAAGGATCCAATTCCATCGATGCTGACATTGTTGTCGATGGTGCTCGGACGGAGGATCTGGACCAAGGAGGTATAGAAATGAAGATCCTCGGGGACCGCTTCCTTGTGGACTCCCAGAAAGAGTGAGAGAGCGTGTGGTGCTGATACTGGAGTGTCCCGATGGATAGACTGATAGATAGGCTGATTGATAGAGTAATGGGAAATGGGAGGGGGTGCTGATTGCACAACCACCAATCGGGAAGCAGGTGACGTTAAGCTTATCGCATCAAGCACGAAGCTGAAAGCTTTGTCGCTGCTGCAGCCCCGTCGAATCGATCCAACTGATCATAAGCAAAGGCGGGCGAGCCCAATTAGCTGAAGACAAATCAGCAAAACAATCCATTAATATTCGCTATATCTCGTCAAATGGTTCATCAAAGTCATAGAGCCGCCTCGCTATATACAAGACATTACGGCGGATCTCTCACGCAAAAATTACTGACTGACCAGTGATATGTGACCCCCAAGCATTATTATAACATGATCATGATCGTCGCAATGGCCGCCAACAATATACCCATCGGCCAAAAGCTCGACAAGGCGCCCTCTTGTAGCGGCCCTGCTTCACTGCTAACCTCGTAGACCACGCTGGGGGTCGCCGATTGAGATGCCGCAGTCGAGTCCACCATAACAATAACCAGTCCGTTACTGGTGATCGTCTGCACCGCCTGTGCCGTTGGGGTAGTGGTTGTATAAGACGTCACCGTCGTGGTTCCAACCCATCCGGTCGGGGTATTGTAACAGTTGTTTTCGCATTGGTCGCAGCATTCCCAGTACACGACCGTCGAGGTAACAGGACAGGGCAACACTGAGGTGACTGTGACAATGACGTTTTCTTGAGTGTAGCATGTTACGTAGGTAGTCGAGGGTGTCCAGTACGACCAATATGATGTGGTTGTCGGTGTCGGTGTCCAATATCCTGAGTCGCTGCACATGTGTTAGGTGCTACATGATCACCTGATGGGGTCGAGGGAGGTGCTCACTAGGCCAAGCCTTGTGCTAGAAGAAGGCCGATAAATGTGAGAAAAGGCCACAGCATGGTTCCCATTAGCAGATCGCGAGCGAATCGGATAGAGAAGAAATGGCGCGGAATCGATGAGAGGCGCTCGCAGACAGGGAGGGATGGGAAGGAGGAATGACAATCAGAAGGGATTGCGAACTACCAACCATGCCCACCTTTTTCACAGCTGGGAGATCTCAGCTGGTGCCATGACTTGCAAGTTACGTAGTCCGAGAGCTTCAGCTGGAAGCTTTTTTCGGAAGAGCTTTCTAGAGTTCCAAGCTCCAAGCTCGATGGGTGAGCTCCTCGCCGCTTCAGTTCTGCCGCAGCTTGGTCGCGACGGTAGAAAGCGTCGACCCCGCCATTGGACCCGCTGTTGCAGCAGAAATCCGGGAACAGGTCTGCTCGAAGAGGGAGGAAAGGTATGTCTTATCAACACGATGATTGCTCGAGAAACTGAGGGGCAACGAAGTTGACGCAGCATTTCTTGGTTCTGGTCGAAGCCAATCAAAGGCGCAGGTGCGCGCACTGGCGGGTGAAAGGGTTGTGTGGATGCGCAAATGCCTTGCATGAAGCGTGCGACGAGCGTCTCGGGCTCAAGGCCAAGTCCGTGGACGAGCTGCAGCGTGATGTCAAGCCGAGGAAGTTAGTTTCGCAGGTCGATGGAGGCGAGGGAGTGACATGGATGATGGTGGAAGAACAGGTGGAAAGTGGCTCTTGCGCACATGGTCCGATAGTCGTGGTTCGGTGGGACGCAGGCGAGACGGGCGGGTGGCGGGGAGAAGTTTGACGGTGGCATTCTTCTTTCTCCCACCATCGCCATCGCCATCGCCATCGCCCGCCCATCTCTTCGACGGGCGCGACCACAACACCGAGGTATGTACACTGCTCAGTGCTGACTATGTACAACGAATGCATGGACTAACTATGAAGCACTCGCCCCAACAGGAACATTGACGCCGTTGATGCCCGTCGAATCCTCGCTCAGCAGCCATGTGATCGTCTCGGCCACCCTCTCCGGGTCAAGCAATACCACCCCGCGCCTCGCCATATCTGCCTCGGCCTCCTCCTCATCCTTGTACCATGATAACGCCATTCCCGTCTTCGTTGCGCCTTAGAAAACCGATTAGCAGGCGGATGGTCGTAAGACGGATTGTAAGGCACAAACTCACTTGGAGAGACAGCGTTTAATCTGATCCCCAACGGGCCCAATTCTTTCGACACCGTGGTCGTCAAGCATGCCACCGCGTGCTTCGTCACACAGTATGACAGAATGGTCGGATCGTGGAATAAACTTGCCGCACTGGCAATGTTGACGATGCTCCGCGGCGACTTAGGCAACTCCATCATCGCCTTGACTTGCGCCCTCATGCTGTACAAGATCCCGGTCAGGTTCACGTTCACCACCCGGTTCCACGTTTCGTCCGTTTCGTTCAAGAACAGTGGCGTTTGTTGGCTTGCAGACATGTTGATGACGCCCGCGCAATTCACTGCTCCGTCGAGGCCGTCAAATGTGTTGACCGTGTCCTTGATCCAGGCGCTGACATCAAGGCTCGAAGCAACGTCGACTTTGGTCACAGATACCTGCATATCAGGGTTGATAGCATGCAGTTTCTTTCTTGCGCTGTCAAAAAAGCTGGGGTTGATGTCGCCGATGGAGACGGCTCTGGCTTTTAGCCTGGCAAGCCTGGAGCATGTCGCTAATCCGAGACCAGAGCTCGCACCTGTCAGAGCAAATACTTTGCCAGCGATGGAAGCCATAGCGAGGCTCTGAAGGAGGAGGCGACCACGATTGGTCAGGTTGGGTTCAGGGAGGTGCGGATAACAAACCCGAGATGGTGAGAGCGAGGAAAAAGGGATTCGTAGAACATCCACGACACTTATCACCATGTAGACACCCATCTCATGTACCTCTGCCGATGAGGGGCTGATGTCCTGTTGCGTTGCAGCGCATCCTTGCCAGCACATCAGATCTGGTATTGGTCTGGTACGTTAGCTTCATGCAAGATATCTTGGGTTGTGCAGCGATTCGGCCGAAGCACAACGTTCTCACATTGTGATATATCCAACCAAATTTAAGCCGGACGTGATTCGGCGAAGCGCCGAGGGGAGACTGTAGCACACAAGAGTCAAGATCGGTCACAGGGGGGCGCTTAGATAAAAATGCTCGGTACAAGTGAATCAGCCGGCCAAGCATCAGACGAAGGATTTGTCAAAACAGTCACTTTGAGTCGGCATGCTATTGTCGTCGTACTTGGTGTATCATTTCTTCGTATTACCTATGTCACAGAATAGATCATCTTCCTCCAGTTCATCGTTGACCACCTCGCCCAGCACCAGCGCCGCCGGCACCTCCACCCATGAATTGTTGCGCACTGTAGCTGTCAGCAAAAAGTCTTCACATGTCTTCGGGGCTTTACTCACAGGTTTGCGAGCTGGGGATCCTGCATCATTTGTTGTATTTGGCTCATGTCAGGCATACCACCTCCACCTTCTCGGCGATTGTTCATCATGTTCTGGATGGTCGGGTTGCTCATAATCCCGCTGAGAGCCTCCGGGTTGCGCATGAGGTTCTGTGCCATGGATGCAAACATCGGGTTGCTCATTATGCTGGATAGGTCTGGCATGCCGCCTCCGCCGCCACGACCACCACCACCGAACATTCCTGCCAGACTGGCGAGATCCGGCATTCCACCTCCGCCACGTGTCTCGCCCGCGGCGTCGTCCACTTCATCCTCAGGTATCTTCTGCTCCTCTGCTTCCATCCGAGCCAGTTCTTTCTTTGCAGTCTCCAGGCCTTTCCTCATGGCTTCGCTGCCTCCATTCCCTTCAAAGTCAATGCCCTGCTGGTAAGCCTCCACGCTTCCCTTGGCATCGCCCATGGCGAACCTCGCCAGCCCTAATCTTGACCAAGCCTTTGTATATTTGGGGTCTGCAGCAACGGCGAGTTCGGCGTCCTTTACGGCGGATGCATGATCACCACTTGCAGAATAGGCCGCGGCACGGTTGGAGAGGTAGATGGGGTTTGTAGGAGCGTAGGATATGGCCTGGGTGTATTTTTCGATCGCGGTCTTGTAATCTTTCTGTTGCATCGCTGCATTGCCTGCGCTCTTGAGTTTCTCCGCCTCTGGGTTTATGGCCTTGGGGGCCGCTGGTTGCGGAGGAGGGGCTTGGGCATCTGCAGGAGGTGCCTTTCCTTGCAGTTTCTCGTAAACCGAGAAGATGTTGAGCAGGGACTGAGAGCCGACCGCTTCGGACACGGCTGCCTTGTCGGAGGGGTCGACCTTAAAGGCTTCTGCGATACAGTTGCTGGCGATCTCAATATTGTCGGCATCATCGGCCGTGAGAGTGCCATCCTTGAGAGAAGTGGACAGGAAGTCTATTATCGACAGCGCCAGACGCTTTTTAGAGTCGGAGAGAGACTGAGATGTTAGAAACCACTCAACGGTAGGGGCACATGAACATACCATTCTGATATGGTGAGGAGAGCACAATCCTGGGAGAGATGAACAAGTGGACGAGGGAGTGTGTGTATCTTCGCTGCCTGGTTAACAACGGGACTCGAGACTGTCAACATCTATGGAAACTCGAAGATGACCAATGATCGTCAACGTCACAAGGTTCTCTTGGCGACCAAAAGACGAGTCAGAGCTACTTGGGGCTCACGTGCAAGTCACTCTGACCGTACCGCTTTGTATCTCCTCGCCTTTCGCTTAACTTCGCACTCACCCTTCCGCCGATATCTACTAGATACTCTACCTCGCGAAGGCGCTAGATCTTCAACAGTGGTGTCCTACGGAGATGAGGCTGGTGACTACTCAACGTGGGTACTACCAGAAGCCGTTCCCAGGCTCCTAAAGACTGGCGCTACCCTCTGCAGCAGTGTGTGTTTTTCAAGGCCGGTTGGACATGGATTGTATCACAAGGACAAGAAATCAAGAGACCACAAAGGAGTGATTCCTTGAACACAAGCAAACAACTCCGACAACGCGGACAACCTGCTTCAAGAAGGTCATATTTCTGTGTAAGAGGAGCTGGTCAATGTACCGGCAGAAACCGTGATCTACACGACGAACGCCTTAAGACGACGAAACCGGAGGCGCCACCAGCTGCTGTCCTCACAATTTCTTGATTACGATCAACCCCAGAGCACTTCCCTTTCGCTTCACGACTTCCTGCACAGCCAAGCCCGCCCCAGCCCCTTCCACTAACTCCCGAAACTCCTCTTCATCTCGATCCCCTCCGTTCATGGCCTGCATCATGAACAGAGACCTTGAACGATCTCGCGCTTCATCTCTGAGCCCAACAGTCCCAGGTTCCGGAAGGATGTGGTTGTTCAGCAAAATTAGTGCATCCGGTTTCATAGCGGACGCGATGTTGCGCAAAATGGTCTGCGCTGCAGTCCTTGGGTGGTTTTGCACGACCATTCTCACAAGGAAGACAGAAGCCCGTGACGAGGCTGCTGGCTGAGGCTCGAAGAAGTCGTGAGAGGTAAAGACTATGCGATCTCTAATCTCAGGGGGCAGCGGTGAAGATGTGGCCTTGCTGACGACAACGGGCAAGTCTTGGACTGTGAACGTCAGGTTGGGAAACGCCCGCGCAAGTGCGATCGAGACATGTCCAGTTGAGCCGCCGACCTGGAAATTCTGGGTCAATGCTTGACAAATACTACAGGTATTGGGACGCTCGGTGCTGACGCCCCGCCTCAATTTACTTACATCCACGACTTCCGCCTCTCCCAAACCCGCCCAGTCAAACATCTGGATAAGATGCGCTGTATGTGTTTCCTCTGCACCACCGACAAATTTCATCGCCGCTTGCAGACGTGCAGCGATCTTTGGGTTCTTACTGAGATACGCAAAAAATGGTAGGTCGGTTTCCATGGCAATGTTGTGTGCAGTTTCATTTGGCTTCTCACTCCCGCCATATTTTGAAGTCATTTCGGTCATTTTCACCGCGGTCGATGCTGTAGTTTCGGCCTGGAACAGAGCTGTCTCGAGGAACGTTGGACTGGTGGCCAACTTCCCGGATAGCGGTGTATGTGCGAGCATGTTCGGCGAAGGCTCTCTGAAGACGCCGTTCGTCATGGCCATGCGGGCAATCTGACGGAGCTGGTGCTCGGGGACTTTGGCAGCTTGGGCGACCGAAGCATAAGAGATGGGTTCGCTTAGCGGAATATGTGCAGGGATGTTGAAGTGTACAATCCAACGGATGCACGAGAGATGTTGGAACTTTATCAGAGGGACATTCGTATCAGTACGACCAACAGCTTGCAGGATTGAAGATGCCAATCACGTTTGGTACCACTCACATTAACGGTCGTCTGGGCATTCAATTCGACAGGGTCTAGAAACATCTGATGAATCCTCGCCATGGCTTCAGACATGGACTTATTGGCATCTCTAACATTCTCGGGTGCCAATGCCAGGGGGAATTCTGTGGTTTCACTGCCCTCAGCTTGCCCAGCCTTATCGTTTGTGTCTTGTGAGGCTAAATAGTCTCGAACCTTTTTGGCCGATGAGTTGAAGGCCTCAATTAGTGCGTCAAAGTCGGCCACTTGAGACATACTGAAGAGACGGCGGTGAGTTGCTTCTTGGTGACTGCAGCGTAGAATAAAGCGAGGCTGAAGAGGTGTTTACGATTCTCGAATTCGAACACAGAAGATCTCCAGGTCTCCTGACTGTCGGGCGCAAGACGGTATGAAGTACTTTCAGCCTCCTCCTTGGTATTGGTGACTAGAACTCCCTTGCATTAGCCACTTTCCGTAGTCGCCTTTTTCTCCTCGTTGATTGTGGTCTCGACTTGTACTATATTTGGAGCCTTGCAAGGGCAGCCTTGTTTGAGATGCGAGGACCCAGGTTCTGGATAGGTGAGTTTAAATAGTCTCGGCCACCAGATTCATGAATACGAGGACAGCCGGGTTCTAGACGCTGCGGGCTGGGGCGAGGAGGCTGCATTAGACTTTCCGCGTGGCCGTTGGACAACATGGAGCTGCTGTCACTGCGATCCCCCCTATCATCGACTCCACCAAGGACCATGGAGTGATCGGGCGCAGCAAGCGAGGACAGCACCATTGGACGCTTGCCGAAGAGTCTCCCCGCGAAAACGACGCAGCTCCTCCAACAGCCTGACTTTGTGCCGTGCATCGAGGCCACCAACACCAGGCCCACAGAGCGCTCGCAACAACCCAGCTAAGGCAAGCGACTTGCCCTGGATTGATCCCCGCGGCTGGGGTCAAGACATTCCGCCGTCGGCTGGGCTGGGCCATGCAAGGAGTACGAGGTAACTATTCGAATACGAACGCTGTGCAAGCCTGATTCGTAAACTGACTCGGGCATATGCATCTTCACCGAATCATTTTGCGTATACCCCCATCGAAACCGCCATGAAGCACCTCTGTTTTCCAAGGTATTTGATCGTTGTCTCGGAGCCAAAAAAAAGTGATGCTCCGTCCATTCACACTCCCCTCGAGTCCGACCCGCCAAAGCAAATTCGCGGCTCTAGGAGACTGACCCCTTTAGGCCCCACTAATAGCCTTTAGCTTTAATAATATCTACTTTAGCCGTACCCCCTTATTCGTTTTAGCTTAGTACCCGTGCCGCTACTAATTGCCTAGAAACTTCAATCCTCATGTCTATATAGCGACGCGTCTTCTAATGACTTTATTCCGGTGCTTCTACGCAAAGGTAGTTGAGTACCTCGCGATATCATGACCGATGAAGATCAAAAGCCCACACCAATCCCGAATCCTACTCTATAGTCGTGTCGGGTTGAGTTTGACTTGGTCGAGGGGACTTTGAGAGTAGAATGTCCCACCAGTGGGAGCGTAGGGTGTTGTAGCGTGATCAGGAGTCGATGGAAATGGAGCAGTGTTGGTTGGAGGTATGGGGATACTGCTTACAAATGCCGGAACAGAAGGTGTTGGTGAGCTGTATGGATTCACTGCAGGTCCGGAGGGTATTGTGCCGCCACCAAAAGACGTTGGGCAAGTGACTTGAGAGTATATTATCCACCGTTCGTCGCCGCCCATTCCTGACCAAACGTCTTTTAGTCGCTGAAAGTGTGAATGTCTTCATCTATGAGGAGAAGACAATTCACATCACCCAATCGATCGATGGGCGATGTTGATATATCCTCCGTTATTGCATAATTTAGTATAGCCCTCTGTCGAGTCCTTGTTGCTTCATACACGTCCTGCCATACACAGCCTTTATTTTTAAACCAAGTTCAAGTCTAGTCGTCGGTTAAGGCCCCGCATATTATGTTAGTGGACTTAAAGTCATAAAGCCTCTAGTATGTTTCTTAAACATTAGTATTAAGTTTGATATACAGAGCCTAACGAAGAAAGGGGCATACGACGTGGATAAATAGTGCAACAGAAGTCACATACTTTTGGGACTTATACGAGCAAGAACCCTCCCCATCTCCAAGAACTACACATGACGCTACGATTTCCCGATCTCTGCTTCCCAACACGAGGAAAATATCCCTCCAGACCCCCTAAAGAGATGTGATGCTGTTCTCGCGCCGAAAACGCCGAGACACCATCTCCAAGAGGTGAGGATCTGGAAATACCCAACCTAGTAGTCCCCAACCATATCCGCAAGACTTATCGTCCACAAAGCGAGCAAAAGCTTGCCCGCAGCGTCGTATGTCGTTACTGGACCTCTCAACATAAAATCGCCGATGAACCTTGCAGTAACACAAGCAATGAGCACCAGAAGCATCGGAATGCACAACATTAGTTTGAGTACCAATTCGGCGATGCACCGTATTTGTTGGGTTCTTGCAACGTAAGAGGATTTCCCCAAGAATCCAGTGCTTCCGTATCCCGTTACTTGCGAGTCTGGATGCCCGAGGAGTGACTGAGCTTCAACATCTCGATTCAATCTCTCGGGTGTGGAATTTGTGCGATGATCGGAGGCACCATGTGGTAAAACGGTGTTTCCGTTCGAGGAGGAAGAAGGTGGCTCGGGGACGGCCCACTCGATCACCGGGGGCATTTTGGCCAGCAACAGCTTCATCGACCCTTTCGTCAGACGGAATGTATCTGCACTGACCCCGCTGAAAAGAGCAAGCATTCTGGCATCGATCTCGAAGCAAATCTTCTTCACGTAGGATGGTTTCTCAAGAGCACGCTTATTGCGCAATGTGAGCTGGCAGCCATTGCGGGCGTTGAGGGGAGCGATCGGGATGTATTCGCCAGGGGACTTTTGGGGATGCGCGGTGACCTTTGTGCACGCCAAAGGTCAGTTGACATTGCAGAAAGGACGGGCAGAGTTGGACGTACCGGAGCCACTTTGACCATCTCGCCCTTCACATCGTGTTTGTAAAACCTGAGGACCACGCATGGATGGTCATAGACCCAGTCATCCATTCTGAACCCATCCGTGAGCGACGGGATGTGACGATCAACGGATGCTCTGTCGCGTATCCACAGAATACACCCGTCCCGGAAACTGCCCCATTCAACGGCGGGCCGCGCCTCGTAGTTTCGCACGGCCTGAGAATCGCGTCGCTTACCCGGAGACACCATGGCCGCGAGGCAACATCGCCTAGACACTGGGATGTGGTTCTTCAGTTGAGGACATGGAACCAGTGGAGGCACATCTCTCATCAAATTGTGCCGCAGAAGAGGCGCCTTTTACTTGACCTGCGATCACGGTGCCACGTCAACAGTTTTGTCCTCCAAACCGCGGCGCATAAACTGCTTTCCCCGCCTTGTAGACGACCGTAGAAAATCACACACAGTAGGTCTCGGGCGAAGAAACAGTTGCTGGCGAGATCTGAATGACTGAAGAACCGTGTCCATAGAATAGAACTTGGTGGCCGTGAGGTATCTAACGGTGCAATTGAGTTCCCTGCCCTGTAGATGCGTACTACCCTACTGGCTTGTTCTCCATGGCGTTAAGCACGACTTCAGAACTCCCCCATATTAGACACCAACTGTTGGACCCTAGTCGTGAGTTCCTTATAGATCAAGAGCGTTAGAGCATTCTTAACCTTACGTTCATTGCCAGCACCTCGCTGAGAATCATGCTTTGTGCCGCTCTTGGATTGAACTTCTGGATGGGCTTACCGCTTACGGCCTGTTCCAGAGCCGTTTATGGACCATCGAAGGCAAAGCCTCATGTCAAAAAGGCTACAAAAAACCTACGAAACCCGGACTACCGACTGAAGCTCCTAAAATAGGCCTGAATTGATTGCAATTTCATTTGACTCTGTGGCTTCACAGATTTATCCCCTGAAATTGTGCGGTACATTTCCTCACAAGTGGTCATACATGCATGAACACCCATGGTGTTCTCCTTTGCCCTCTCTGAATCTCATCCGCGCGTTTATTGCTTGCTCGTACATATCAGTAGGACTGCTAGCCAAGCGAGACAGCTCGAGGGTGCCCTTGACTGTTTCATTTATAGTCTTCTCCTGTGCGGCGGTGAGTGCGTATTTGATATCTCTCTGCCATTCTGTCTCCATCAATCAGATTCGCTCATGACAACTATCATGCCGATGCTGCGTATTGTGCGTATCGCAAACCCCAACTAACTTGAGGTAGTCAGGATGTTGGGGCTTCTCCATACACAGAAACCATCTGTAGTTACGCTTGCCTTGGCCGCGGAACACGCCGCGGAATAAGTCACGGAATGAGCACTTACCCCAGTTCTCCGTTCCAGCTGTCCTCGAATTCTCGGCCCTGGGATGTCAAATTCGGATCCCCCGTACGCCTCGTTGATGCCAATGTCCCTGCTGATCCGATTCGAATGGTATCAATTTTCTCTCCAGATATGGGGTCGATGCCATATCTGACAGCCTACTACTTGGCCTCGGACCTTGGCGTGGAGGCGTGTTTCACGAGTTAATGTACGGGTTGGTCTCACGCCGAACCGCGGACCTTGTCGACGTCGAACAGAGAATCTGAGTTCTAATCAAAACGCCGTTGCCCAGCTCATGAGTCTGGCAGGCCTTTGACGCGGGAGCTTTGCGTTCTTCCGGGCAAGCTCACATCCTCCGACCACCGATACATAAGAAGACTGGTGGCTGTTGGCCTTCTGTCTGGCGCCAGACATATTGGTAGTTTCGAGAGCAATACGAAGCTGCACTTGATTAATATGGCACCCGCTGCAGTCAATGAGGCCGGCGTCACGAAGTCGTTCGAAGCCCGGCATATTGAGGATAGGCTCTTCATCAACGGAGAGTTCGTGCCTTCGGTATCTGGTAAAAGATTCGATGTCTACAACCCTACGACAGAGAAGTTAGCCGCATCAGTCTACGAAGCTGACGTCGAAGATGTCGACCTCGCCGTCAACGCTGCGAAGGAGGCGTTCCCGGCGTGGTCTGCCCTATCCGCAGCTGAGCGGATCAGCTATCTGAATCGACTCGCCGATGCTATCGAAGCGAACGCCGATGAGCTTGCCTATCTCGAGGCTATAACTATGGGCAAGCCATATGTTGACGATTGTAAGCTCGCGATTTCATTATCCCTGATCTACAGTAATTTAGGACTAACATCGTCAACCCTGCAAGTCTCGGTCAAACTGTCAGTCTATAACCTACGGTACTTTTCGGGGAAAGCACTGGACGTGACCGGCGATTCGAGCCTCAACACCAAGGACTTCGTGAACATCACGTTCCGGCAACCATTCGGAGTCTGCGGCGCTATCACTCCCTGGAACGTTCCGCTGCTCATGCTGATTAACAAGGTCGGCCCAGCACTTGTCACTGGCAATACGTTAGTATTGAAGTCATCCGAGAAATCGCCTCTTTCTTCTCTCGTCGTCGGCCGGTTAGCCCGAGAGATCGGCTTACCGAAAGGCGTACTCAATATCCTATCTGGGTACGGCCGTCCCTGTGGCGAGGCAATCGCAAAGCACATGGATATCCGTAAGGTGAGCTTTACGGGCAGCGTTATCGCAGGACGTGCTATCAAAAAGGCTGCGGCGGAGTCGAATCTGAAGAAAGTCACGCTCGAGCTCGGCGGGAAGTCTCCCCTCATCGTGTTTGAGGACGCAGACTTGGCCAAAGCCGTCCCTGCTGCCACAATGAGCATCCTGTTGAACAGTGGGCAGTCTTGTATCGCCAGTTCGCGGGTATACGTACACGAGTCCATCGCCACGCAATTTACGGAGAAAATGAAGACTGCTATGGCAGAGCTCTTCCCAGCCGCCGACCCGCTAATAGCAGGGACGGGACGCGGACCACAGGTCGACAAGGCACAATTCGACCGTGTGATGTCCTATCTCGATTACGCGAAGGAGAATAAATTGAGCGTACCCTTAGGCGGTGGTCGCCAGGGCAAGGAGGGATATTTTGTGGAGGCTACCATCATCTCTAACGCCCCAGAGAACTCCAGGGTTATGAAGGAAGAGATTTTCGGGCCTGTTGTCTGTGTCAACACCTTTTCCGACGAGGGAGAGGTTCTTCAGCGTGCGAATGACACCGAGTTTGGTCTCTATGCCAGTGTTTTTACAAAGGATGTCTCACGGGCATTGAGAGTGGCCAAGGCGCTCGAAGCGGGCAGTGTGGGCGTGAACTGCTCATCGCCGACCATGGCAGTCGACTTGCCCTTTGGTGGGTGGAAACAGAGTGGCGATGGACGGGAGTTGTCTAAGTATTGCACCGACTATTGGACCGAGCTGAAGAGCGTATATATCTCATTGTGATGTTGGCGAGAGCGCCATGGACAAGCTCGCTTGCGAATTAAATGTTCATATTATCCGACCCATGTTGTTTGCCGATGATGCCTCCCTCCGATAATACCAAGTGCGCTTATCCACAATATCCTCTTTGTAAAAAATCATTTATTGCGTCGTTGAGACCGTCAATGCCAATCTAGATCGAGCACAAGTGCACTCTCAAGTCTTTGAAACATGGGCATTAACGGAACATGGCACTTCCCACAAATCAAGTTCCGAACTCGCCGATTCTACCACAAATCTCGGAGCCCCGGGGCGTCGGAGGCAACAACTAAGAATGGAGAAGCTTGGTGTAGACCTGACGCTCCGAATCCCCGGGAAGGGATCTGGGGACCTGATTTGCCTGATCTTAATGCACCCCAGACTCCAGACTCCCTGCTCCTATTCCGCCACCGGTTCCGAGATAAAAACAAACATTACGTTGCAATTCGGTGACTGGTGGGATCTTAGTTGCACTCGCGCTTATGGGGAAAGCCGAAACTCGTCGCGACCCGGATTCCAGCACATTGAATCCTTTCTCCTGGAAAGGGCCTGGCAGCACTTCGTTCTGGAATATCAAAGACAGGACCTCTTTGCAAGGGTCAGTCACTCTGAGACGAGAATCAAAATACAGCTATGGATTCCTTGCCCTGGAAAAACATCCCTACTAAAGCCCTTGTTGTGGACAAACCCAACGCACCTTTCAACCTCGAGGATGTTGTCCTGGACGAAGTACGCGAGAATGAGCTTCTTGTCGAAATTAAATATTCCGGAATATGCCATACGGTGAGAGAGCCCCTTGTCGAAGAAAACAGAACGGCTCCGACTCATTCCAAATTTTCCAGGACCTCGTTATGCAGCAGGGGAAAATGCCCATTGGTGGTTTCCCGGTAATAGCTGGCCACGAAGGCGCCGGCATTATCCTCAGGCTGGGCAGCGGTCTCGAAAGTTCGGGGCTCAGAGAGGGCGACCGGGTAATACTTGGTTTCGCCTCCTGCATGAGTTGCTCAGCATGTCAGGAAGGAAGCAAAGGGGCCTGCGTCAACATCGCCCTCACCAACTTTGGAGGCACCAGAGGCCTGGACGATACTTCAATTCGCCGCCCCAATGGAGACTTCGTAAGAGGTCCAGTGTTTGGCCAGTCGTCGTTTTCCAAGCTCGCGATCTGTGACGCCAGAACTGTGGTCAAGTACGCAGGGCCGGTGGAAGATCTATCCTTTTTGGCACCTCTGGGCTGCGGGTTCATGACGGGTGCTGGAACCGTCATGGATGTTTTGAAGCCAAAATCGAGCAGCAGTATTGCTATCTTGGGACTTGGTGCAGTGGGTCTTTGTGCTCTCATGGCAGCCAGAAGCCTAAACGTCGCTGAAATTGTAGCCATCGATATCGTTGATTCAAGGTTGGAACTGGCGAAATCTCTAGGGGCTACGCACGCCCTGGATGGGAGGAAGTACAAGGATATGGAAGCCGCAATCCGGGAAGTGTCCGCGCACGGTGTTGACTATATTGTCGACACTACTGGCTCGATCGGCGCGATCAATAGTGGTATCAGAGCGCTCGCCCAACGGGGAACGCTTGCTGTTGTCGGCACTCCTCCGCCGGGGGAGTGTCTCAGGGTTGAAGCAATGGATATGCTCATCCACTGCAAGAAGGTCATCGGAATTACAGGCGCTTGTGCCAACCCTCAAGAGGTGAGTTTTCACTTTCCACCAGCAAAATGAGGTTTATTAACCCCCTCTCAGCTGATACCTCGTCTCATCAAAATGTTTCAAGACGGGTTATTACCCATCAGCGGCCTGTGCAAGACATACCCATCAACGGAAATAGAGCAGGCAGTCAGGGATATGAAGTCGGGAAAGGTAAGTTATCCTTCTTCAGTCCTGGCCTGTTCAAATCTCATTCAATTTCAGGTCGTCAAACCGGTACTAGCTTGGTAGTAGTACTTTCGTTAATCCCTGGCTCGAGAAATTCGATAAATATGAGCTTCTATATAATAGATATGTCTAGATATGCATAGCCCATGCCGGCTCCATCAGAAGAGCGCACAGTGCGACAGTAGCATTGTATTCTCACGTGTCGGAGCATAAAGTTAATGGGGATTGATAGCGAGGACTATTTCGTGAATGCTAGACGCACCCTCGAAGGACGAGCGACTCTGACCAGTCGCTGCCAGCTAACCACACGTAGCCAATGCACAGCAGTGCGCTCGTTTCGTATTGGAGCGACCACAAACGAAGATAGGCGAATACGCTTCTCCGCGAATTCCCGGACTGTATCAACCATTATGTGCACTGATGGCCTACAGTTGCGCCCTGACTTGGTTGTAAGAGACTTGAACACCAAGGGGACTCAGACTCAGCCTTGCGATTACCCCACAGTCTCCCCGGCCTCCTCGGGTCCCATCTGGTGGATCCAGGTGGGCCACGTAGTCTGCTCCAATCGAACATCACGTCCATTCCAAGCCTGGCCGGAATTGAAAGGACCTTCAACGGAATGAGGTTCCAGGCAAGCCCAAACACATGTTTTTGGCTCGGCAGAAGGGCCACGTTGCTGTAGCGAGCGCTTTCCCCACGAAGCCAAGGCTTGGAAATTTGGAATCTTTTCCTTGCGCTGGAATCTGGGGATCCGTGTCGAGCTAGGAGTATACCCCATCCGGAGAACGTGGGCACACTCACTCCAGGTGGTTATTAAAGACTGGTACTAGACTTCCCACTCGTGACACCCTCTAATAGGCCTTGGAACTTTCAGACAGCTCCTTCAGGGCACCACGCTCAACATCTATGTCTTCCACAGAGTCGAAAATGGACGAGACCAAGGAAAAAGTCCAGTCGTTGGGCTCGCCAGCTGAGTCCCTGGACGAGGAGGTGGTCATCTGGAACCACAAAAAGGAGTTCGCTCTCCTCCTGGTAGCTTACCTTCCAAGTTCACCCTGAAGATGAGCGCACACTTATCATGATGGCAGGCTCTCTGCAGTCAGTATTTCTGTCAGATGCTGTTCATCGTCGGCGCAGGTGTCTACGCTCGATCCATCGCCGCCGTGGTCGGGGGGGAATCTCTTTCTTCATGGCCCGCAACAGCCATCAACATTCTGACGGCGGCCACAATTCCTCCGATTGCACGAGCCGCTGACCTCTGGGGGCGAAAGTGGTTCCTGGCGGTGCCAACGTCCTTGGGGTTTGTTGGCAGCATGATTGTGGCCAGAGCATCCTCCATGCAAATGGCCATTGCAGGCTTCGTTTTGGGCGGTGCGTCGTTCGGGGCTCAGCCGCTTGTCCACGCTGTGGCCTCGGAAACCATGCCTCGCAAATACCGCTCTTTTGCCCAGGGTGCCTGCAATTCTGCCATCGCTCTCGGATCCCTCTTCAGCTTGCTTGTTGGCGGAGCATTGACCAACAACAACCCGGCTGGGTTCCGGACGTACTGGTATATCTGCGCAGGCATCTACGTTCTCTCGACCGTCATGCTGGCAACGCTTTACAACCCACCACCGAGAGAGTTACAGTTGACCTTGACCTTCAAGGAGAAGGTGCGCTGCCTGGATTGGGTAGGGTTTTTCCTGTATATTGCAGGCTTGGTGCTCTTCTGCCTTGGCCTCTCCTATTCTCAGAACCCTTTCGGCTGGACGAACGCACATATCCTCGCTCCTTTCCTCATCGGAGTGGTTTTCATTCTCCTTCTCATCGGCTATGAATGGAAGATCAAGAAAGACGGGCTCTTTCACCACGGTCTTTTCCAAAACCGAAATTTCCCACTTGCGCTGGTGGCGGTCTTCATCGAAGGGTACATTTTCATGTCCGCCAACATCTACTTCCCCTTCTCCATGGAGATTATCAACACCGGGATCTCGACGTTCCGAGTGCTGGTCTGCTACAGCATTGCGTTCATCTGTCTCCTTTTGATGTCCTTCCTCATCGGAGGCTACATCTATCGCACCAAGACGGTGCGAGCCACGGCGATGGCGTCGAATATTGGATTCATCATCTACGCCTCTCTGATGGCTTCGGTCAACACAACCACACCCGAGTCTCATTTCTGGGGCTATGTCACCTTCTATGGCTCTGGTTTAGGATGCGGCGTCATCACGCTTTACACCACGGCCCAACTTTCGACTCCACCTGAACTCATTGCCGTCACCTCGGGTCTAATGGGCTCGATCAGAAGCACGGGGGGATCCGTCGCTGTTGCCATCTATGGTGCTCTGTTCAACCAAGGGCTCACGAGCAATCTATTCCCCAAAGTCGCCGCCGCCGTCATTCCACTGGGTGTGTCAGAGGACAATATCGGTGCTCTGATCGCCGATTTGAGTGCTGGTGCGGTCGAAGCAGCGCTGGAATTGCCCGGTGTCACCGTCGAGGTAGTTGAGGCGGCAGGGGAAGCCCTCAAAGCGGCTTATGTGATCGGTTTCCGCGATGTATTCATTTGCGCCGTCGCTTTTGCGACCCTTGGTCTTGCAGGTGAGCTTACACTTTCAGTTTTTGCGTTGATACGGATTGACTAACAAAGCTTTAGCTTCTACATTTTTGATCAACCCAAAGAAAGAATTCAATGCTAAGATTGATGCACCTCTGGACGTCTTGGAGGTGAAGGTCGAGGACACTGAAAGCAACATGGCCGTCGAAATAAAGGGCGGGAAGGCAACCACGATTGAGGGCTAACTGGATGGATTGGATATTTAGGGAAGATTTCTTCCTAGTTTTCCGGTCTCTGTCTATAGGTCCACAATGTTGTTTCTCGGGATATACCTCTCTCTCTACTTGGGCGACCATGAAAAGAGAGTCTCCGTGCAGCTTGATAGTCAGGAGGCCCTCCCAGTAATACGGAACAGATTTGAGGTTCTCACAATTAGTGATTCATTTACTTCGTTCACGTCCAGTTCTGCCCATAGACGAACATTACAGGGACACATGTTGGGTTTTCTGTCACTACGTCCCATTCACTCTCCATGATATTGATTCCTCTAGCCCATGCGCCAATAGTCCATTTTTCTCGCGACGCCGAGGCTCAAGCTGCTCGTACTACGGATTCCCCTTATAACATTCCTGTCGGCCTCGTGACTTTCCACCTGCTCGTGGACCCTCTGCACAACCAGTCGTCGAAATTTTTGTCGGCGTCTGCAAGGACGTCAAATCCCAACAAGTTTTTCTGGTAAGCAGCATCTCCCCAATTGAAACTACAGGCGCCCTGCCAACCAGACGCGGGAAGCCCGGCCAGCTCCTGGTCCCGTTTGAGTTGCTCATCTCCGTCGGCCAGATGATAAAAGTGTCGCGTGTGCACAGCACCGGCTACATTGACCTCCGTTCTCTTCTTCCTCAAATCTTCATACAAATGAAGGAGGTCGGTCAACTGTGCGCTCCTCTCCTCGGCGACGGGCGAAATACCACTATTCTGCAGCCGGGAGAGAAGGAGTCCCAGGATGGCACCGTCTTCGACAGCCATCGCGGCCCCCTGGCCCTGGTACGGCAGAGTGGGATGGGAAGCGTCGCCGAGCAAAGCGACCGGGCCCTGGTTGTCTGGAGTGAGCTGAGGTCGCTTCCGCACAAGCTTTCGGAAACACACCTTTGTCCATTGGTCAAGCTCTTTAAAATGGAGAAGTTTCCATTTCAAGGCCGACTTCAAGCATGATATGATGGTGTTCAAGCTGGAAAGTCAGTCATATCGGGATAAAGGTTCGACGGAGAGGTCATTACGTCGGATCCCAGCCTTCAAAGTTGGCTGCCATTTCTTCAAGACTTCCTTGCGACGCCCGGACACCTTCTGGGAGATTGTCCGCGCAACTTGTGCATCTGTAAGTTTCGTTGTCTCATCAAGAGGGAGTGAAAAACTCACAGCAGCACGAGGTTATACTCTGTTTTGTCTCTTAATGGATAGAACACTGCGTGTCGTCCTGAACCCAGCCAAACTTGGACATTTGATGCTTCGATCAGTTTGTCAATCTTTTCATTCCTGAACCCTTTCAGCTGTTCTCGCGTGAAGGTCCCTCGATATGCAAGATCGCCGGTTTCAACAGGCGGCATAGGTCTGCCCAAGACATACTCTCGAATTCCAGACCAGAGACCTGCATGATTCGTCAAAACAATCAGATCTTTGCAACCGCAACTGCCACCACTTACCATCCGCGCCAACCACAATATCTGCCATCATGCGATTTCCATCTTTCATCAGAACAATCTGCTTCCCGAGATCTTCTCCAGTGCCTTGTTCGATACCGGTGACTTCCCCGTTCGTGATTATCTTTGCACCATTCTTTCGAGCAGCCTCTAACAAGACGTTCTGGTAGTCCCCTCGATGAATGGCTCTGCTTCCTATCAGTGTCGGCTCGCCCGAATCAAAATGGTATATCGGGACACGTACAGCCACTCCGCCCCATATTCTCGTTCCATTCTTTCTCCCATCGGCTTCTCAACAATAACATTTCCGTCTTTGTATCTTCTTAAGGTAAACCCTTCGACAGAATACGCCTTTGCCTGCTTCAGTTCTTCTAACAGGCCGAGATGCGTAACGATTCTGCAGGCGTTGGGAGGGATGTGGATTCCTGCGCCAATTGTGAGGATCTCTGGAGCTCGCTCAACAACAGTGACGGCCAGCGGTGGATTGGCTCTTCGACATGCGATTGCACACGCAAGACCACCAATTCCAGCCCCGACAACGACAACTTTGAGCAGACAGTGGTCCCGTTTCAACCGACCCTGGGTATGATTACGACTTTCCATTGAGATCCGATCGTGGTGTCTTGACACTCCTGACATGGGTGTCACACTGGCTTTTCTGTGACTTCAAGCTATTTACGCGACTTTCTTAGCATGTAATCCGGAGCTGTCTGGGGCCTCCGGGGCCTTGTAAGACGGCAACTCATTCTGCGAATAGTTCCGGGGATGTAGTGCACACTGACGGCGACCCTTCAAACATCGCCACCCATTTCAATGCTGTAGCTTGACCCGTTCCGTTGCGCATTCCGCCAGCTTTCAGCCAAGATGGTCCAAGTCGCTATTAATTGGCTGTTTCAGGGATTGGTCTGGGCTTCCGAATTGGCAGCCCGGGCTCGCCTGGCTGCCTGGGTTAAACTCTAACGCACCGGAGCTGCTGGACTTGGGGCTTACGTCGGGGTCGTGAGGCATCATTGTTAACCGAGGGCCCGGAACTGGCCTTCTTATTCCTGTCCCATTCCTCTGGCACAAACCGCTCTGCGCACAGAAAATCTACTCCCCACTGACAATGCTCGGTGCCGATACAGAACGATTTCGTGGTGCGCTGGGGCATTCCGAGAGCAGAGTTGGACAACTTCCTGCCCCCAGACGCTCGCGCGCCAAAGACCCGGCCGCCCGGAAAAGGGCGATATACGTGGAGCAGGCATGCGTGTTCTGCAAAGCCCGCAAGATTCGCTGTGACGGTCAATTACCGTGTGTACCGTGTCAGCGGCGCTCATCCAATTGCCGATACAGTAAAATCCAGGCTGAAGGTCGGGGGAGCATCAACGGGCATTCCAGTGCAACCCCAGAAACCCCAGATTCAAGGATACCTAACCAAGTGTAACAAACCCGGCATGCTAGTCCACTCCTCTCGCTAATGCTTCGACTAGGGGCCTGGCCGAGCTGACCGATATTGTTTCTCAGCTTCAGAGAAAGATTGCCGTTCTAGAACGCCAACAGCAAGAGTCAAGGAGCGAGGAGACAGTCCAGCATCGTCGCACCTTCATCGACCAAAATGCCCACAGACTGGAACAAAACAGCGAGAGCACCACTCATGCACTGTCGCCGGCCTTTGCAGGTCCTACCAGTGCAGAATTCGGTTTTGGTATAGCAGGCATCATCCTTCGCCAGGAAAACGGCGCAAGCAATGGAAGACCATGGTTCAACACAGAATTGGCTGGATCGGTGAATGCTGATGAAGAGGGAGAAAATCCTTGCAGCTTGCATCCTAATGCAGGCTCATCACCATTTTACGGGCTGCAATTGCAGGATTCGCTCCGACTGATTCAGCTTTACCACGAGTCCATCGAAATTCTGCACCCGATCTTGGACAGCAAATCTTTGCAGCAGCTGGCCACTTCCCTTTTTCAGGGCGTGGACTATCCCACCGGTTGTGTCGCCTCTCATCCATCTCCTTCTTCTTCTCCTTCGTTTCCATCCGCAGATGTTGATATTGCCCACCTGAAGATGGTGATGGCTATTTCGTTGCTTGCTGAAGGCGGAGGCTTCAGTCCAGTGGCGAGGAAAATCCACGACGACCTGATCCCAGTCATTACCGATCACATCCTGGCCAGGACATTCACCCTGGGAGGTCAGATTCTCCTTCTTCTCACGGTGGGTAGTCCATGATCGCCTCCCAAGAGCTTGAAGCTGACTTGCAAGGCATTTTATCACATATTCCAAGATGACTCTCGCCTTGCTTCACGTTACGTCGTCATTGCATCTCGTATCATGGTTGAAGCCGGGCTGCATTTGAAGAACGTACGACGAAGCCACCTGGCCAGCGAGGCCGAGAACGCGCAAGTGCTTGCTGTGCTGTGGACTTGCATGTATCTCGACCGCCAATTAAACTTCAACGCCGGTCTTCCCCTGGGTCTGAATGATTCCGACATTGAGATTCCTGAAATGGTATGTTCCGCTACATCTTCGGGCCAAGAGGGGAGTACTGACGATGCTATTGAAGGAAAAGATGCCTCCCTATTTGAAGGCAATGACCTCCTACATGAGAATGGGACCCCGTGCATGGACTGCCATGACAGATGAGCGTGGCCAGCTAAAACGTACGATCAGCAACGAAGATTTCGAGTTCCTCGACTTCCAGGTACAGCGTTGGGAGGAAAGTTTGCCCAAGGAGCTACGGATCCTACGAGACCGGCCGTTTCTCGATCAAAACGACCCCGGGAGACCACCTGACCGACGTACTCAGCTACTGCGATTCGTCTTGTACCTCCGCGCGAATCAGTTCAAAATTGTCCTTATGCGCCCGCTGTTGTTTTCGACGCAAACCTTCCAAGGGAATATCGAACAAGTGAAACGTATGATCCAGTTCTCGAATGACAACATCGAGATGATTGTCATAGCGGATAAAACATGCGGCTTGTACGCAAAGCAGCAGCCGCTCTTCAACCTTTTCCTATCGTCGGCGCTGTCCACACTACTCCTGATATACGTCCACAGTTTGCCCGGCCGTGGAATGGCTGCCAACGGCGACGATCCCCCAGAAATGGTCCGAACGGTCCAACTTGGAATAAACAACGGGTTAGAACTGCTCCGGTCGTACTCCCTCGCCCGCTCGTCCCAGCGGCTGTCGAAGAAAATCGCCAGCCTGTTGCAGTGTCTCGGCTTTCCGCTATCGACAAACGACAATCAACCCGGCGGGGCTATTGCCCTAACCTGATTAGGAAGGTTATCCGGCTAGTTTTTACACGCCGGCAAGTCAAACTGCCGTGCGACCGTTCCCACTAGATAGAACAATCAATCAATTCATGAAGTTAGTTCTACAGGTTATGAGCGCCTAAACGCTTGATTGCGCGTTGCTCAAGCGTCGTTTGGTTCATCCTAGGTCATCCTTTCCTGGCTATCTAGCAGGAATAACCTATCCTTCGTTCTGCGGGTTGTGTTGTTGGTTGTGCAGCAACGGTGTCCTGGTTGGAACCGTGCAGGCAGTCAAACCAACAACAAATCGCGCCCACCAATCTCAGGCGATTCTATCACGGATCGGCCTGTTAATCCCTCTATCATTGGACAGACCAACACCGCGGGGTGCGTGGCTGTGCCTAGATCGCCGAATTGGCCTCTGGCAGAGCGTCAACCGAGCGCCAATCGGCCACAATCGGAAAATTCCTACCAATCCTCGATCACAGCCCCTGCCTAGCCTATCCCACCACGAATTCCTAAGCAAATTAAAAGCAGAAAAGGTGGAACAATAGGCAACATGGGGGGGTCCAATAATCGCAAGAATCGCTTGATCCTACAAGGCAAGTCCAATTACGCAGTCTGGTTGCCAGCCTGTGAGATGGAACTCCGCGCCCAGGAGTGCTATACTGCGATCTCGCGACCGGTAGTTGTGAATCCAGAGACACTGGATACCAAAGCAAAAGCAAAAGCAACGTCGGATTTCCTAGCGCGCAAGCAACCACGACCTGAAAAGGGTTTTGATATCCCTACGCTTGACGCGAACTATGATCAATGGCTTGGTCAAGAGATTGAGAGATTTGAGAAATGGGAGATAGTGAACTCAAAGGCACAGGGGGTGATCTACAATCTCTGTGCTAATCACGTCAAACCACTCATTGTACATGAGAAGACCGCAAAGGATGTTCTTGCAAAGCTAAAACAGGCTTACGAACAGCAAGGCCTCGCGGCAGTCTATCGACAGACGATACTGGTTAACAGTTACCTATCTAAACAGTTCGCAACACTGGAAGAATACGTCAATAAACTACGCGCCAATCGATCAGGTTTTGAGGCACTTGGACACAATTTCAATGACGATTTCTGGGTGTCTATCTTTCTCAATGGATTGGGCGAAGATTATGAACTGGTGGTCTCACAGATCCTCGACACAGAGAAGGGCAAGATAGTCTTCGATGAAGCGGTGCAGAAGGTCTTTCAGTATGATTTGCGCAAGGCAGCGCAATCGACAGGCAACAATCAGGCCAATCAGGCCAATGCTTTCAAGGCTCAAGGCCAGTCAAGTGGCAATAACAACAAACGCGGCAACAAGTCTAATGGCAATGCCAATAATGGTCAAAACAAGAATAAGGACTCAGAGAAATGGGCCTGTCGAACACACAAGACAAACGACCATAAATGGAAGAATTGCAGATCGAATCCTGATCGTGTTGATGACGACCAACCAAGTAAGGATAAGGGCAAGGAAAAGGCAACTATCAACGCTTCGATTGCCGACCAGATTACTCCTGAGATGCTTAGGTTCCTTGAGAAGAATGCGACTTCTAGAGATTCTAGCGAAGATGGGGGGGCGTCGGCCAATCGAGCCTATTTCTATTCAATCGCCACGTCTGAGATCGCTGTTTGTGGTGCTAAGGAAAAGGGCTTCCTGATCGACAGTGGAGCCTCCCACCACATGACCTATTCCAGGACGAATTTCATCAACTTTCGCAAAGGATCGATGACTGCTAGGTTGGCAGATCACAGCGAGATTGAGGCTGAGGGCTGTGGCGACGTGATCATCGATTGCAACCTTGATGGCGTCACAGTGCCTATTCGATTCGATAACGTCTGGTACTTCCCTGATCTGGGTGTTAATCTCTTGAGTATCCACGCGCTTAAGGAACAGGAAATGGTCGCTGTTCTTGAACGCGTTCCTGGCCTTGCCAATACGGGTCTATACAAGGGCAATAAGAGAATTGCAAGTGTGCTAAAGGAGGGACGACGTTACCTACTGGGCACAAAGGACAATGTCTCGCCTCTTGTTGAGATTCATCGCGAGGACTCAATTTCAGCATTATCTGTCCGAGGTGGTGAAACGGCTAGGCTGTGGCACAGACGGATGGGCCACCTATCGCCTGACTATCTCAATCGACTCAAGAAGGTTGCCGACGGCGTCGATTTCACAGATTCATTTGGAAAACCCTGCGAAGACTGTATCCTTGCCAACCAACCTCGTGCTCCGCGCAAGGGCACAACCAGCGGCTTATCAACTAGACCAAATCAGTTGATTCATACCGATCTCGCTGGGCCGATAACTCCTGCTTCGATCAATGGCAGCAAGTATGTGATGACGATCACAGACGACTATTCCAGACGAGTAGTCC